GCTCTCCAGACCCCTGGGCCCGTGGAGCGGAGCTGCCAGCCACCAGTGAAATCCCCTCGCCGTCCTGTGACTGCCCAGCTCTGCCCAGACCTGACCGGACCCCAGGATGCCCCCCGGGGCTGCAGGTCCAGGGGGCACTGAGTAGGGGCAGCAAAAGCAGGGGTCCCGTCCCCAGAGGGCCCCCAGTCGGCCCCTCTCAGGACAGCCCTCACCAGGTCCGAGGCACAAGGACCCCGACACTGCGCTTCCCTCGCGGGGGCAGGGCGTTGGAGAAGGCCCAGGCTCTGCTGGGTGTGTGCCCGGCGGGAGGAGCAGGGCGTGTCCCTGGAAAGCCGGTTTGGCCAGCCTCGCCCTGCTGCTGAGACGGTTTCACAGGGTCTACTCGCCGGGATTCAGACAGTCTTCACCACGGCCTGCCCAGCACCTGCCTGGCTCCCAAGGAGCCGAGGTGGTCAGCCAGGGCGGGAACAGAGCCCCTGGACGCGGCCAGCCAGCCCCGTCACAAGGTCAAGGGGCACAGGGAAGGCTCATGGACCAGGACAGCAGCCTGGCCCCGAGCTGGGCCCCCTCCCCGACCGGCTCTCCCAGCAGCTTGATGAGTGGACGGAGGCTCCGCTGTGCCCACGCCGTCCGAGGGCACCCCTTGCCAATCAGCCCGAGTCCCCTCCCCCAGTACAGATCCCCCTTACCCTGAGCTCTGAGAGCCCTGTTCTGGGCACCGGGAGGGGTCTCTGCCCGGAGAGTGTGGGACAAGGACAGGCCAGCATCAGCAAAGAGAGGGCGCCCAGGACCAAGGGCGGCTGGGTAGGAAAGCTGCCCAGAGGTGCCCAGGAAAAGGTTCTAGGGGGCAGAGGGGGCCTTGCAGAGGTGACCGCTGTAGCGGCAGCCTTGGGGAGACAGGCTCTGAGAGGAGGGTGAGGGGGTCCCCGGGCTGGGGGACAGGCTGAGCAGAAGCAGGGAGCCGGGACCCGCCGATGGCAGGGGCTCCGAGCAGTGTGCCGGGAAGGGCCAGGCCAGGGCGAGTGTCTTGTCCGGAGCAGAAAGACACTAGGCTCCCAAGCGGATGCGGGCTAATGAAGGCTTTGTCTGAGGGGGCAAGGCGGTGGCTTCACCAGGCAGGCGCCAGGCCCCGCAGACGGGGTGGGGCTGCTGGGAGCCTGGAGCGGGCCCCGGAGAGCCAGCGAGCCAGGTCTGGGCGCGGGAGTGGGCAGGGAGGCCTTGGGAAAGTTCTCAGACGGAAGACAAAGCAGGCCAGCCCTTCCTCACGGCAGTCCCTGCCCGCCGGCCGGGACGGGGTCTAACAGGAGGCCCTCTGCAGACTGCAGGGCTGCGGTCAGCCCGGAGGCCCTGGGTCTTAGGCCAGCTCCCCTTTGCTTCGGTCTGGTCACTGTGTAGAACTGTCCCTTTGCCTACACAGCGAGGGGTGGCCTGTGAGAACTCCTGCTTTTGGAAGAACAGAAAGAGAAGTTGTTGGGCTGGGGGGCACTCAGAAGGGCGGGGGAATGGCAGAAAGCAGGGTGAGCCACGGGGCCCCTCTCTGGCCCACCTTGGGGGACGGGGCTGAGTGTGGGCTTCCCCACGGGTCCCGAGTGGAGGCACCTCGGGCTCCCCCTGCTGTCCAGTCTCGTCAGCTCCGTGACTGCGGGGACGCTCCCAGGAAGTCAGTAGCCTTTGGAATGTTCAGGATCATCCCACCGGAGGCTCAACTTTCCCAAGGAAGTTTGAGATAATGAGACAAGGGGTGTGTCTCACTGTGCTTTGTATTCAAAGTGAGGACGCTGCCAGCAGATGGTTATCGGGGTGTGGGGGTGCCTGGGACCCGCACGGCCGAGCCCTCCTACCTGCGCACAGGTGTGCGCGCACCTTCCGCTGTTTGGAATGGAGCCGCCGTTCTTGTTAGTCACTGTGACCATGAGGCCTTCCTGGCTTCCAGGGCCTGGGGGCCGGCAAGGCCCAGGTACCCTGCACAGTGAGGAATTGTCCTCCCCAAATGCCAGCAGCGCCCACGCCCTGGCACCGCGACGCCTGGGTTGAGCACGTGCCTCTCTTTTGCGGAAACTCTCCAAGCCTCAGCGTGGGGTCCTGAACAGCCATGTGGACCCTCCCCTGAGCTGCCGCCCTCATGTGCCAACCTGGCAGCCCCTCTGGGTGTGGCTTCGGCTGCACCACCTCCACCAGGTCCTGGAGGCAGCCAGCTGGTCCGCGTCTGAGTGTCAGTGGAACACAGTTGTGCCGTCTGAACAGACCTGTGCCGCTGTGCCAAGTGCCTCGTGAACTCGTCCTGGGTTCTCTGGGCACAATCATTACGCCAGCTTTGCAGATGGGGAAACTGAGGCACCCTGGGTTTAAGTGACCTGCCCATGTTCCTGAGCACTGAGCCTCCCTCGGCTGCCCACGTCTCAGCCCAGTGAGCTTGAGGGATGTGCCCGGAATCGCAAGCTGCCACCTGGCGCCGTTTCTGCCTGCCAGGAAAAGGGGGAAAGTCACAGGCTTCACTGAGGACACAGGCCAGCTGTGCAGGGAGGGCTGGGCCACCAGCACCGGCAGGGACACTGGAGCGGGGGTGGGGCTCCTAGAAACGGGTGACGCTGCTGGAGTGTGGCTGATGGGGGGCTGGGAAACGCAGTCCACAGAAGTGTCCTCACCTGCCCGCCACACCCGCCCCTGTTCCTTGCCCCGCCAGGAGCCCAAAGCTCCAGAGCCTGTGAGCTCAATCAGCAGAATCACAGTGGCGCTGGGTTTGGCCAGGGTGAGCGTCTGCACACCCCATCGGGTGACAGATGGGATGAGGAGTGTCACTGACCGAGAACAGGGCACGCCTGTTGCATGTCCATTTAAGGCTTAGCCTGCTGGCCTGCCGGGGGTGCACCGGCTTTCCCTGGGAGGTGCCACGGCCGCCTCCTCCCGGGAGTGGAGGCGAGGGGGTGGAGCCTAATTGCATAGTTTTCGTGTTATCTGCAAGGTGTGCATTCCGTCCAAACCTCACAAACCTGCCCCCTCCCCGCCCTCTGCCTATTCCTGCTCCTTCACCCTCCCAACACCCACACACCGGCTCCCTCGGGGCAGGCTGCCTGACCCAGTGTGGGGAGAAGGCTGTGCCTGCCCAGGGCACAGCTGGCGCGTGGGTGGTGTTGGCGGGAGCACCACCGCCGAGGCTAACAGTTTGTGGCTTCTAAGCTTGGCTGCCTGTCTGACCGGGAGCCCGACCCCGGGCTGCTTCCTGCCTTCCCAGGTCGTCCCTGCCAAGGAGCCAGACCTGGCCAAGGGCGGCCCCCAGCCTGTGTGGCTACATCTGGAGGAGAATTACCCAGTATCCTGACCTCTCCTGCACACACTCACTCCAACACGCACACACACTTTTTCATGCTCTTGCACACTCGCTCACACACTCCCACACTCACTCTAACACACTTTTCATGCTCTTGCACACTCGCACTTGTGCACACTCTCACACTCATGCTAGTGCACACTCACACAAACTCATACACTCACACTTACTCTCACACACATTCATGCACTCACACACACATGCTCTCACACATACTCACACTCAGTTTCACACTCACTCTCGCACACGTGCTCACACTCACATACACTCACACACATGCTCACATTCACTCACACACATGCTCACACTCACACACATGCTCACACATACACACTCACTCACACACAATGCTCACACTCACTCTCACACACATGCTCACACACACATACACACTCACTCTCACACACATGCTCACACACACTCACTCACACACATGCTCACACACACTCACTCGCACACACATGCTCACACTCACACACACATACACACTCACACACACACATGCTCACACTCACACACATACACACACTCGCTCGCACACACGCTCACACTCACACACACATACACACACTCGCACACACATGCTCACACTCGCTCGCACACACACATGCTCACACTCACACAGGTGGGCAGCCCAGGCAGGCTCTGGCTGCGGTGGAGGTGAGTCCCACAGCAGCCCGTGTGTGGAGACGGTTCCACGGGCTCATGTTGACCCCGCGGTCCCAGGACAAGGCAGTGCAGACAGAACCACGGGACGGGCTCTGGGAAAGTCCCCTCGGACAGCTCTGTCCCAGCTTTTTCCCACCACACCCCAGGCTCCGCGGGCTCTTCCCACAGAGGCTGGCTCCCTGATGGCCCACAGCCCTGGGCCCCTGCTGTGGTGTGTTTTTCTGTTGGGTTGAGCCTCTGCCGAGCCTCCCTGCTTTGAGTCTGGCAACAGAGCCAGGGGGCCCCAGAACCCCTCCCTGTGTCCGTGCCCCCGTAACTGAAGGCCCAGGACAGGGGGATTTCTTTCCCCCTTTGGCCTTGGAGGCGAACCCCCAAAGGGCCTGTTCCATTTGTTCCTTGCCCTGGTGGAGGGGAGCCATCGTGAGGAGTGTAGCAGAGAAATGACAGAGGGACACCGGAGGCCAGGACAGGAGACGTCCCCCACACTGCACACAGTGGCCAAGGAAGGCCGCTGTGCCAGAGCCTCTCGTCGGCACGAGACAGCGGGCAGGGGCGGGGGCCAGGGAACACAGCTCAGGCCCACTCCTGCCCTTCCTTCCGTGAGTGACTGTGGGAAGGGCCCTCTCCCCTCTGGGGCTCGGGCTCCCTTCCATTCTGGGATCAGAGCCACGAGGTCAAAGGTTTTTATCTGCGACCCGTGGTGAGAAATACGTTTATAGAGCAGCTTGGCAGCCACACACGGTCTCCAAACAGCACATGTCTCCTGCCCGCATGCACCGTGACGTCTTGTAGTCCGGTTTATATTATTCTAGTCTGTTCTCTGGAAGGATGGTCACTGTTGCTAAATGGACTTCACAGTCCATCATGGGCCACAGCCTCGAGTGTGAAGAGCGACACATCAGACGCTGTTGGAGGTTCCTTGACCTCCGAAATTCTGGGGCTCCATGAGCATCTCTGCGGAGCAGGGGGACCCCCACTGAGCCTTTCTCCCCCCTCTGGCCAGATCTACAACGGGACCCTCAAGCGGGAAGCGGACAACCGGCGCTTCAGCTCCTACAGCCAGATGGACAACTGGGGCCGCCACTACTCCCGGGGCAACTTCAACACGGGCGCGGGCAGCGACATTTGCTTCCTGCAGAAGATCAAGGCCAGCCGCAGCGAGCCGGACCTCTACTGCGACCCGCGGGGCACCCTCCGCAAGGGCACGCTGGGCAGCAAGGGCCACAAGACTGCCCAGAGCCGGTACAGCTTCTACAGCACCTGCAGCGGGCAGAAGGCCACCAAGAAGTGCCCCATGCGCCCGCCCTCCTGCACCTCCAAGCAGGACCCCGTGTACATCCCACCCATCTCCTGCAACAAGGACACGTCCTTCGGCCACTCCAGGGCCAGCTCCAAGTGAGTGCTGGTGGGCCGGGCGGGGGAGGGGCGGGGCGGGGGCTGGAAGGGGGACACCCTTACCTGGCTACACTGGAGGGAGCTCCCGAGAAGGGAAAGACACAGCTCTGTCCTCGGGGAGTTCCCAGTGTGAAGGGGTCACACCCAGAACCCAGACACTAACACACATGTGCTGACTCTGTAGGTTTGAAGGGTCACAGGTCATGAGCAGAGGGAGGCTAATTCGAGGTGAGTTAGGTCAGTGGTTCTCAGCGTGTGCCCCTGGACTAGCAGCAGCAGCCCTGGGGACTTGTAAGACATGCTAGTTCCCGGGCCCGGCCCCGACCCGATGACTTGGAGCCCCGGGGGAAGGGCCGGCTCAGAGTGTCGACTTGGTGCCCCGATGGGGGAGGGGTGCAGTGGAGACTACAGTCTTGCTGCAGCAGACCCTGTGAGGGGCTGGGGAGTCAGGCACAGCAGAGCCAGACTATTAGGTTAAAATAGGAAACTCCTGCATTTGTGGCTCAAAAAATGTTGACTGTCAGATATTTCATATGGTTCCACTTAGCAGATGCCCTTGGATATCCGTCTAAATAGCTTGACCTGGACCCCGCAGCACAGAGAAGCCACTAATGGGGACGGCAGCCTGAACAGGGTCTTAGGACTGCTAAGCTGGTGAACAGGTGTGAGGTGTTGGATAGGGAGCTTGGAGAAGACAGCCTGTTGTGGGGTCTCGCACTGCAGTCTCCATGAGAGTGGTCATAGAAGGAAGGCAGTGGCCCTGAGGAGAGGAAGAAGGGACAGATGCGAGGAGTTTTGTATAAGAAAAATTAGCTAGACTTGGGAATGGAGGGAAGGAGAGATGGTTGGATGGATGGATGGATGGATGACGATTGGTAGAGGGAAGATGGATGGATGGATGGATGGATGGATGATTGGTAGAGAGAAGATGGATGGATGGATGGGTGGATGGATGGATGGGTGGATGGATGGATGGATGGATGGATGGATGGATGATGATTGATAGAGGGAAGATGAATGAATGGATGGATGAATGATTGGTAGAGAGAAGATGGATGGATGGATGGATGGATGATTGGTAGAGAAAAGATGGATGGATGGATGGATGGATGGATGGATGATTGGTAGAGAGAAGATGGATGGATGGGTGGATGGATGGATGGATGGATGGATGATTGGTAGAGAAAAGATGGATGGATGGATGGATGGATGGATGGATGGATGATGATTGGTAGAGAGAAGATGGATGGATGGATGGATGGATGGATGGATGGATGGATGGATGGTTGATGATTGGTAGAGAGAAGATGGATGGATGGATGGATGGATGGATGGATGGATGGATGGATGGATGGATGGATGGATGATTGGTAGAGAGAAGATGGATGGATGGATGGATGGATGGATGGATGGATGGATGGATGGTTGATGATTGGTAGAGAGAAGATGGATGGATGGATGGATGGATGGATGGATGATTGGTAGAGAGAAGATGGATGGATGGATGGATAGATGGATGGATGATGATAAGTAGATGGATAGGTGAATGGATAATGATGGTAGAGGGAAGATGGATGGATGGGTGATGGATGGAGAGAAGATGCATGATGGATGAATAATGGATGGAGAGAAACAGGGAAGATGGATGGATGGATGGGTGGACAGACTCACAGCCATTCCCTCCCATTTTCCGAATACTAGGCACAGGTATGAGAGCTGGTAGAGTAGGTGGGGAGATTCCCTTGAGAATAGGGCAGAGGTACCTTTCTCCTTGAACATTAACCCACCAGCAGGCCCTCATCACAGTGAGTGTCCACCAGGGGGTGAGCTTTTCCCTGCCCTGGAGGAGCTGTTCCACAGAGCTGTCCTCCAAGTGGGCCTGGAGCTGCCTCCCTCTGGCTCTGTGGAAGGCGGAGGGGGCTGTGACATCTTGGGTGTGTGGAGATGATTGCCCTGTGCAGGGCCCCTGTGACCGACCGCACGGCCTCCCTCACAGGATCTGCAGTGAGGACATTGAGTGCAGTGGGCTGACCATCCCCAAGGCTGTGCAGTACCTGAGCTCCCAGGATGAGAAGTACCAGGCCATCGGGGCCTATTACATCCAGCACACCTGCTTCCAGGATGAGTCGGCCAAGCAGCAGGTACCTGGCTGCACACCTCCCCCGCCCCCGCCGTTGGTCTGGGCGGGGCCTGGGTGCATCAGCCTGACCCTGCATTTAGAGATGGGTGGGAGCATCTGCTGTTGGCTCTTTCTCACCCTTCCCAGCTGCCTGGGGCAAGCAGTGTGCTTGGCATTGCCCCAGACCAGAGCTGGCAGCTTGACCTTGTATGTAGAGCAGAGCCCTCTGGTCGGGTGGACAATTTCTCAGGTGTCTTTCCTCCACTGTCACTGTCTCTTTGTGGCAGCCCCGGGCTCAACAGAAATACCCTCCCTCAATCCGCCCTGACGAATGTGACGACCCCACCCCTCAACTCCATCCGCTCTCCCTTTCTGTCTGTCTGTCTGTCTGTGTCTCTCCAAATCGTGACCCTCTCTCACTAAGTATCTGTGGTGGAACTCAGGGTGGTCTGTGCCTCCCCAGCGCGGCTGGCGGCGGCAGGGCACCCACAGGGTGCAGGTCAGCCTGGGGGGTGGAGCCATCGATGTGTTTCCCGGACAGTCAGGACCCCTCTGCACTGAGGTTTCTGTGGGAGGGTCTCCCTCGTCTGCCCTGCTTTAGGGCTTGACATGTGTTCACCCCCGTGCTCTCACCTGGTCTTCCCCATGGTACTCAGGGCAGGAGAACAGGCTGGGGCAGAGGAGTGTCCCCCTGAGCATCTCCACTAGGCGGTGGGGGCATCAGGGTCTGAGTCCCTGTCTCGGCCCCTGTCTGGTCCATTATTTGGGTTGGCGTGGATGTTTCTGGTGTTTGTCTGGGTTGGCGTAGGGTTTGTGGGCTGAGAGTCATCTCCGTGACGGGTGACGTGGTGCCCCTGCCCCCAGGTCTATCAGCTGGGGGGCATCAGCAAGCTGGTGGACCTCCTCCGCAGCCCCAACCAGAACGTGCAGCAGGCTGCGGCCGGGGCCCTGCGCAACCTGGTGTTCCGGAGCACCGCCAACAAGCTGGAGACCCGGAGGCAGGGCGGGGTCCGCGAGGCCGTCAGCCTGCTGCGGACCACCAGGACCACCGAGATCCAGAAGCAGCTGACCGGTAGGGAGCCCGGCCACGGGCAGGACCGTGGGCAGTGGGGGCCGCCCCTCGGGCTGAGCCAAGCACAGGTGCAGGGCGACCCTGGGCACCCTTGGCACAGCCGTGCCCAGCCTCACAGGGTCCAGATGGTGGCCCTGGCACTGTGTGTGCACACAGGGGTCAAGGTCCTCTGGAGGAGAGTGGGCAAGGGCCGGAGGCTGGTGTCCAGGTGCAGTCCCTCCAGCAGACCTTGGGTTCAGGAGGGGAAGGGGACAGGGACCAATCCGTCTTCAGCATCTACCCTGTGTCCAAAACACATGCTGAGCGCCGAGGGTGGGGCAGAGAAACCGTCACTGTGCGGCGCCCCCACCCCTCCCGACTGCACGGGGAATGAGAGACCACAGGCAGAGTGACGGTGATGAGTGTTTCTGGAATGACTTTCGGGTACGGAACAGAGACCATTAGGAGACTGAATGTTACAACTCGTATTGAAATCACCCATCAGTGGTTTTGGATCACCTTCCGTGAGCCTGATTCCGACCCACGTGGAACGCTCGCTAGGCCGGGGGCGGGGGATTCGATAGGTCTAGCTGCAGGGTGACGCCCCAGCAGGCTCGCTGGGGCCCGTCCCCGGCGTCTTCCTGAGCCTGGCCGTGCTGGGCCGCCTGTCCCCAGGGCTGCTGTGGAATCTGTCCTCCACGGACGACCTGAAGGAGGGGCTCATTGCCGAGGCGCTGCCCGTCCTGGCCGACCGCGTCATCATCCCCTTCTCCGGCTGGTGCGATGGTAACAGCAACCTGTCCCGGGAGGCAGTGGACCCCGAGGTCTTCTTCAACGCCACAGGCTGCCTGAGGTGAGGAGGAGGAAGTTCAGGGTCTTCAGGCCCAGTCGCACACCCTGGGCAGCGTATCCCGTACCACAGCGGACCCCCGGGGCCCCCCGACTCCTGGGCATTCCCGGCCTCCCCGCCGCTCCCGGGGGCCCAGCGGACCTAGGCTTGCGTGGAAGAACACACCTGGGCTGAGCGTCCCAACCAGTCCCATTCTTCCTCCTCCACCTCTGAGCGTCTTGGACTGTCTTAAAGAGACTTCTTTCAGACAAAAGTCTGTCTGCTCGTGAGTCACTTCCGGGCCGTGGGGCGAAAGCCCTTTGCCAACGTCCGCTGGCACGCAGTTGGCGCTGCTTTGCCCAAAGTGTCCCGAGTGCCTCACCAGGGTGTGGCGAAGCCCCTCGGGGCGGTGGGAGGAGGGGCCTGGGTGCTCCCATTTCAGATCAGCTTTATGAGCTGGGAACGGGTGCCGGTGCGGGGTGCAGCAGACCAACACCTGCTCGGAGTTTGTCTTCCCCAGGCCCCGGGAGGCCCAGCAGAATGGGGTGCAGTTGGCAGGGGCTCTGGGTCTCAGCTTGTGCCCCCCGCAGCCTCCGGGGCACAGAGGCCAGGAGATGAAAAGCCAGGGTCACTACGGGCCTTCTGGGCTGCACCCGAGGGTGGGCCCAGGCTGGGGAATGAGCCCACCGCTGGGGGCGGAGCACAGCCTCATGGGGTGGGGCCTCTGGCTCCAGCCCCCCATCCAGCACCAGCCCAGCATCCCCAGGAAGAGACAGGGCAGGGGGAGCTCCAGCCCTGTCCCACAGGTGCCCAGGGCTGCACCGGAGCTGAGTGGGCAGACAGCAGGTGCCAAGGACCGAGGTCCAGCCGGACCCGTCGGCCTCAGCCGGGGCCGCCGAGCAGGCCACCTGCCTTTCTCTTCCTTCATCCCTCCGTTCTTTCTCCCTCTGAATTCCGGGCCTCTGCTCCGGCCCCAGCCCCCAGCCCCACTGTGGCCCCTGTGCCCGCCCCTGCGGGTCCCCCACCGCCTGCTCGTCTGTCCCTCAGGAACCTGAGCTCGGCCGACGCGGGCCGTCAGACCATGCGGAACTACACGGGCCTCATCGACGCCCTCATGGCCTACGTCCAGAACTGCGTGGCGGCCAGCCGCTGTGACGACAAGGTGAGAGCGTGTCCCCAGCGGCACCGCCACTGGAAGTGACCACAGGCCTCCGGGCAGAGCCTGGGCCCGGCTGCCCAGCCTGGTCCCAGTGGGCATCTGGCCTTTCTGCTGTGAATGGACCCCCTTCCGCGGGGTAACCTGGACCTGGGAGCAGATCCCGGCAGGGCCAGGCATCATGGGGGAGGGGGGGTGCCACTGAAACCCCAGTCCGGTCCCTGGAGGAAAATGGCTGATGTCTGGGGACAGCAGCTGTGTGGCTGGCATGGGGCCTCCTGCTTTTGCGTGTGGACATGGGATGGGCCAGCCTCTCGGTGTTGGAGGCTGAAGACCAGCCGTGCAAAGGGGCTGGTGGGGGCACGGGGCTCGGGGGCTTGAACGTACAGATTCCCAGGTGGGAAGGCCCCTTCCGACCTCGAGCGTCTTGGCCAGAGCAGTAGAAACACACCTGCCCGTTGTCCTACTAGGTGCGGGCCCCCGATGGGTACTTTCCCCGTGTAAGCTTCCCAATGGCCCAGAAGTAGGTGGCTTCAGCCCCATTTCACAGCCAGGGAGCCTGAGGCTCCGAAAGGCGAAGCCGGTCCCTGGGCTCACGCGGGCAGGACAGGAGGTTCCGGGAAAGGTGTTGGAGGGGTGCGTGGGGGCGCCCGAGCAGCCGGAGGGGCGGGCAGGCAGGGAGCCTCAGGCGTGTGCCCTCTCGGCCCCCAGTCCGTGGAGAACTGCATGTGTGTTCTGCACAACCTGTCCTACCGCCTGGACGCCGAGGTGCCCACCCGCTACCGCCAGCTGGAGTACAGCACCCGCAACAGCTACACGGAGAAGTCCTCCACCGGCTGCTTCAGCAACAAGAGCGACAAGATGATGGTGAGGGGCCTGGGCCCTCCGCCACGCGCCCGGCCCGGCCCTTCGCCGGAGCTGGGCAGAGGGCGTCCTTGCGGGCAGAGGGTCTGTGTGCTGGGACGGTAGAAGCTCAGACCACCTGCGGGTCTCAGTCTCCCCAGCGTCTCCCTTGGCCCTGAGGACGGTAACCCCGGGTTCCTCGAAGCGGAGGTGCTGTGCCCCGCAGCCAGGCTGACTGCACTGAGCACGACCCTGGCCTCCAGGCCCTGGGCCACCGCCCCTGAGAGCCCAGGCTGGGTGAGCTATGACTGAGGGCAGGAAGCCTCCGGGAGCGAGACTCCAGAGCAGGCTCGTGCTCCCAGGTGGGGGCGCAGTCTGAACACACTGCCCGAGAGACCGAGAGGCTTTCTGGCCTCGGACACAGCCCCCAGGGCCACGGCAGGCCGCTCGCTCTGCAGTGAGGGAAGGGGCCCCCCAGGCAGGATCCTGGCCCCGAGGTGTGGGGGCAACGCGCCTTCCGGGCAGCCCGCTGACCTGCCCTTCGCCCTCAGAACAACAACTATGACTGCCCCCTCCCCGAAGAAGAGGCCAACCCCAAGGGCAGCAACTGGCTGTACCACTCGGACGCCATCCGAACCTACCTGAACCTCATGGGCAAGAGCAAGAAGGACGCCACCCTGGAGGCCTGCGCTGGTGCCCTGCAGAACCTGACGGCCAGCAAGGGGCTGGTGAGGGCCTCCTGCCTGCACGCCCCTCCCCCGCTGCACCCCCTCATCCTGAGTCTGCAGTTCAGAGAGGCTGCCTGAGTTCTGGCTGGCGCGGCTCAGAGCTTTGTTCTGCACAGGAGCAGACAGGGTCTGCCACATGGCAGGCTCTGGGACGGTCCCGGGGCCAGGACGAGGCACCAGAAGTGGCCCAGCCGCCCCCCCTGGAACTCCAGGGGTGCAGAGTGGGGGAGCCCACTCCTGTGGGGGTCTGTCTGCACCCTGAGTCCCCTTAGCCTTGTGATTACGGCCCCTCACTGGCTCCCGCCTGGGCGGGGGCGGCCATGGAGCCTGAGTTTGTGGCAGGAGGGATATCTCCCGTTTGTCGAAATGACAGACGTAAAAACAGAGGGTTGGGAGCAGGTCCAGGGGACGATGTGGCAGAATCGGAGAGATTTTGAGGCCAAACCTGATTGGAGGACAAGGTGGACAGGGTGGAGCCCGAGGGGCAGCTCTCTCGGTACCTGGACTGGGTTCTGGACCACCCTCTGGGCTGCCTGCTGTCCCCGGCGGGGTCCAGAGAGGGGGAGGGGAGGTGCCTGGCTGCCCCGCGTCCTGTGGCTGCCGGGTGAGCACAGGGCCGTCTGTCTGTCTGTCTGTCTGTGCGGCCAACGTGCGGGAGGAAAATGCCAGGTCTCTCTGTGGGGCCACCTGCCCCTCCTCCTCCACGGGGCCCTCACTTGGTCCTTCTGTCCAGATGTCCAGCGGCATGAGCCAGCTGATTGGGCTGAAGGAGAAAGGGCTGCCGCAGATCGCCCGCCTCCTGCAGTCCGGCAACTCGGACGTGGTGCGGTCCGGCGCCTCCCTGCTGAGCAACATGTCCCGGCACCCGGCACTGCACAGAGCCATGGGTGAGCGCCCGCGGCCAGACCACCCCGGGAGCCCCCGCAGGCCCACTCTCCAGAGGCTGCTGCAGGCTCACCCCTAAGCCTCCCTGGGGCGGGCCTTCCGGAGGGACGCGGGGAGGGGGAGGGGCAGGTCACCTGGGGCTGACAGCGACGGGGTGGGGTCCCTCCGGTCCTGAGCCCCCAGTGGGAGCTGGAATGGAGCCTTGAGGGGCTGCCTGGCTGGGACCCTCAGCCCCCTCTCCCTCGGCCTTCTGACGCCCTGTCCCCTCTCCTCTCAGGGAACCACGTGCTCCCGGAGGTGACTCGGCTCCTCACCAGCCACACGGGCAACACCAGCAACTCGGAAGACATCCTGTCCTCGGCCTGCTACACCGTGAGGAACCTGCTGGCCTCCCAGCCGCAGATGGCCAGGCAGTACTTCTCGAGCGGCATGGTCAACAACATCATCAACCTGTGTCGCAGCAGGTGGGCAGGGAGGGCCGCCCCGCCCCGCGCCCGCCGCGGGCAGTGCCTTCCTCAGCCAGGGTCACCAGGGGACCCCGAGTCTTCCGGGGGCCAGCAGGAGGCAGGAGCAGCAGACCCAGCTGTGTGGGAGCTTATTCTGCTCCATGGGCCTCTCTCCTCCCAGGACAAGGGCTGGGAAACCAGAACGGAGGGCCTGTCCCCCTCATGGCCCCAGGAGGACTCTGGGGCACCTCTAGGTGGCAGGGGCGTGGGGCGGTGCCCACTGTGTGGAATGACCAGCCCGACGCTGAATGCGGCTCCTCTGTCGTGCACCCCGGGGCCCCGTGTCTCCCAGACCTGAGGGGAGGGCGGGAGGCAGGAGGGCCTGTCCTCATGTCTCCCAGAGTCTCACCCACAAACAACCTTCCGCCTGCCCAGCGTTTCACCCAAGGCCGCAGAAGCTGCCCGGCTCCTCCTGTCTGACATGTGGTCCAGCAAGGAGCTGCAGAATGTCCTCAGACAGGTACGGCCCCCCTGCTGGCCTGTGTGAGCCAAGTCCCCTGGGCTGCGGAGGACGGGACAGACCCCCAGGCTCGGGCAGGTGCTGAGCGCGCGGAGGGCGGAGGAAACCAGGAAAGGCCTCGGGGTCCAGGGTGGGTGCACCCCAGGCCCACAGTTCACTCGAGCGTGAAGTGCACTCTGGCTGGGGAGCTGGCTTTGGGCTGGATGGCAAACTCCACTGACGTCAGACCTAAGAGTTGAGAGTTTGTTTTTGGCCCTGGGGAGCCACAGGGGTTCTGAATGGAGCGCTTTGTGGTGAGAACACCCCGAGGAAGAACCACGGAGGGGAGGGGCGAGGAGGATGGAGACCGGACGTCTCCAGTGACCTCTGAGATCAGTGCTGGCCGAGCCCAGGAGCCCGTGGGGCTGCCGTGGGTGGAGAGGAGGGAGACCGAAGGCAGGTGGAATGACACCTGTGTCCTGACGGGTCCGAGTGTGTCTGGTGACCCGAGGGAGGGCACAGCAGCGGCGCGGGAGGCCGGGAGCCTCCTGACGGGTCAGGAGAGGAGAGGGGCGAGCAAGGCCGCGGGGACCCAGGCGCCTGTGTGTCTCCCTTGCAGCAAGGCTTCGACCGGAGTATGCTGGGGAACCTAGCCGGGGTCAACAGCCTCAGGAACTTCACCTCCCGATTCTGAGAGGGGGCTGCCCGAGCAGGCTCAACATGCAGGTGAGAATCGGCCCGCCCCCAGGTCGGGGGCCTCCAGGACCCCTGCAGCCTCCGCCAGCCTCAGAGCGAGGGGCCAGGCGCCAGCCACCCGGCGACACACGAGCACCCTCGGCCTGGCCGACAGAGGCCCCTGGGCCAGGCGTCCCGGGCTGTCCCACCAGGGCGCGTCGGGCTGTGTGACGTCCTGGTGGCCCCAGCAGGCCGGAGGTCTGGCAGAGCTGCGGGTGCAGCGGGGTCCCACCTGCCCCCCTGGTGCCTTCACATGGGCGGGTGTGAGGGGTCCCTGCCTCAGAGCCAGTCACTGGGTTTGAGGTTTCAGGGCTCACTGTCCAGTCTCCGCACGTCCCTAGTGTGGACAGAAACGCAGACCCGGGGTGGGTGACCGGCTCGTGGTCGTAGCTTTCCGGGGTGCTGCTAAAACAGCTCTCCCGGCCCCGCCCCACGCGCTGGCTCAGCAGCCCCGCAAACGCGTCTGTAGATGAGCAGGTGTTCCTGCCGGGACCTCCTGAGACGCTCGGACATCATGGTTACCAGGGGGGGCCCGGCGGGGGCCTCTGCAGGGAGCCAGGGGTGGGGGCTCCTGGGAGGGACACGGGTGCGGCGGAGGCCTCGGCAGAGAATGACGGGAGACTCAGCGGGCAGCTCTATGCGGGTGCCCGGGGCAGGACGGGTGGCTGGTGGGGGTGCAGCACTGCCGGGCTCTGACTCTGCAGGGGCCCCCCCATCTCAGGCCCCTCTAGGGGCTGGCGTGGGAGCCTGCCACTACCCTCACTAACGGGGGCCCTCCTTTTGCAGAATGACGCGACCCCACGGAGCAGACTCGGGCCTGGATGGGGGGCTGCTCTGTGCTCCTGGGCAGTATTTGGGGCGCGCGAGGCAGCGGCAGGCGAACCCGAAAGCTTTGGAAATGTGTTTAGAATCTTCTTTTCCCCTCAGGGGAGCTGGCGGGCAGTGGGGTGGGGCGGGGGGACCTTTCTTGAGTTAAGGGAGCTTTTTCTGATGTCAATACTTTTTTTTTTTTGGCTGAGAAATGGTATATATATGTGTGTATAATGTAAGTGTGCGTGTGTGAACGCATGCGTGTGCGAGTGCCTGCGGCCTGGACCGTGAACCCAAGTTCAGGCAGCGCAGAGGGGGGCGGGCTCCCTCGTTCGCTTGTACCTGTGCTTGGTGGCAGCTGCCCGGGGTCCTGCGCGGGGCCGTCTCCCAGAGGCGAGCCTTCCCCCTTCGGGGCGGCTTTGCAAGAGGCTGGCTGGGGTGTTGAGGTCCGCGGGCCCGTGGGGACATCTGGCTGCCACTGTCCTGCAGGGTCACAGATCTGGGCTGGGCAGGTGCAGGGCCTGGAGACAGGCAGGCGTGGCCGCACCTGTTCTGCTATGTGAGGTCTTCCTGGAAGAGTGGGGGCAGAGGGGGGTCGCTGTGTCTCAGGCCGTGTCCATCAGAGAAGGCTCAGCCTGAAGCTAGTTCTGCCTCTGCAGCGAGGGTGAGCAATGGACCTGTTGCAGGAGGAAGGAGGCAGCTTGGTCTCCACCTTCCCGGGGCAGGCGGGGGACAGGCTGGGGCCGGGCAGGGACCATTCGGGCATCAGGGAGGACACGCCCCGCCACGCTTGGTGCCTGGGAGACTCAAGAGAGGGAGCGCTTGAGGTTTGGGGCACTTGGAGAAAAGGAGGAACAGCCCAGCAGAGGAACCGTCCTGTCAGGCCACCGACGAGCCCACGCCCCAGCCAGAGGCCCCCACTCCCCCTGAGCCCCCGCCAGACCATCTCCTCTCTGTTTGTAGAAACCACAGGGGAGGTGACAGACAGAGGCCCATCCAGGGCACCGGCCACCCCTGGGACGCCAGGCCCTTGTGCATTTCGGATGGGAGTAGTAGGACCTCCGGAAAAGCTGTAATCAGGCCTCAGTGTACTGTACACAGAGCAGAGTTCGGGCTCCTCCGCCCTCTGGCCTCGAGCTTCAGGCAGGAATTCACCGCCTGCCCGTGTCCTCCAGGAGGGCATGGTGCCCGGGCCCCCCACCCCGCCCCTCCCCTCTGCACCAGCCCCAATCCAACCCCACTGTTCCCAGCAGCAGGCAGAAACACACCTTTCCGAACCGAGGGCGAGCCTTTGCCGAGGCTGGACAGCTGGGCCGTGTGACCAGTGTCCTCGGTGCTGTGGGTCTGACGTGGGGTCCGGGCTCACCACCCCGGTCCCACCAGGATGTCCCAGAGGGGATTTGAGGATGACCCCCTGCCGTTGTCAGGGCCCAGAGGAATTCATTTCTTAAAAAATCAAACAGAGCCCTGGCCGGTTTGGCTCAGCGGTTGGAGCATCGGCCTGCGGACCAGAGAGTCCCGGGTTCGGTTCCCGCTAGGGGCACGTACCACAAAAAAACACAAAAAACAAATCAGAGCTCCCGCCCCTCAGGACGCTGTGAACAGAGAGGCCGCATCCCGTCCCCCACCCCCCAGACGCGGCCCTGGGAAAGAGGAGAAGGGATCTGCCTTTGGGGGCCCTCGGAGGGACCCTCCGTGAGGCCTGACTCGGGTCACCTCTCTCGTGCCCCCGGGCGGCCAGCTGGGCCTGTCACCTGGCCTGTCAATCACTCTGGATGCAGCAAGCCTGAGACAGGCCCAAGGACACGGCCTACAGGGGGGCAGAGGGGCTTCGTGGACCCAGCATCCACGTGGCTGTCGGGGTCCACACCCAGGATGAGACATTCCAGCCTGGGCGGAATAAGGAAGGGGAGCAGCCAGGGTCCCCCATCCCCACCCCACCCCAGGGTGGCCTGTGCTGAGACACACTAGGCCCCTGGCCAGCAGCCTCACCAAGCGGGGACTCAGGAGCAGTGACACCCTCCCTTGCTCACTTCGGGGCCTGGCTGAGAGGTGGGGCAGCTGGGGTGACGGCAGCAGGCTGTGGGGGGCCGGGGATGCTGCGGGTGACTGGCGCCTCCTCCTTGTCTCTGCTCCGCGCGCGCGTGTGTGTGTGTGAGCTCGGTGCTGGCCAGGCCCGGCTTGCTTGTGTGATATGCTATGTATTTGCTCTTTTTGGAAATAAAGGAAATCAATAAATTGCTGTCATTTCTGTGAACTCTTCCTGCAGTGGATTATTTGGGGTGCTGTTGAACAGAGGGCCAAGGGCCTCACGTCCTCCCAGGGAGCCCTCTGACGGCCCTGGACCAGGCAAGGACTGAGCGCCACCCACCAGGGCAGGGATGCCACCACCCAGACACCTGCTCTGTGTCCGTGGGCCCATGGGGTTCTGAGAGGTGCGGCCTCACCCTAACCTCACAGACGAGGACAGCGAGGCCCAGGGAGGGAACAAAGGTGCCCAGCGCCCCTCGGCTGGAAAAGGGAGACCACCAGTGTAGGCACCGACGGGAAGGCCAACTTCCAGGGTGTGGTGTGCCCCCAACTCCTAGATGGGGACACCGAGACCCACAGAGGGGTCTGCTGGCACCCAGCCCAAGTGAACCCGGTTGGCTCCTGGAAGAGTCTTGGAACAGAGAAGGCGGGCGATACTGGGTGTGATTCCATCTTTGGCAACGGAGACGCACTCACCCCTTGGGCACGCGGAGGTGGCGCATTGCTGAGTAGGCATTCCCGCAAAGAGGGACGCCCGATTCTTGGAAATCTAGTGACAGGGTGACCGTGAGGCTCCTAGTCTGGGGCTGGCTGGGTGGGACCATTGAGACCAGGGCCACGAGGTAAAAGTGCTCCAGTGACCCCAGCAGGGACCCCCCCCAGTCACCCAGCGCCTGCCACCAGGTTAGCGAACACAGGTGTCGCCGAGGAGCATGCCCGGCCCCCCGGGAGGCACGGCAAAGCTGATGGCCCACTGACGGGGAGGGGGGAGGGGACGGGGGACAGCAGAGACACCCCATCCAAGCAGGACCTCCAAGAGTTCTGACTGTGGTGAATATAAAACCACTTCTGCATGTACCTGGTGGTTCTGAGCCTCTGGCTGTTCCAACCGGGCCCTCTACACCCTGCTTAGAAAGGAGCCTTCAACCAGGGCTGCGAGCCCTCGGGGCCCTGGGCTCCCCTGCAGCCCACAGGCCCGCTCTCTGGGGCCGAGTCTCCCGGGACACAGGTGGGGCCTGGAGGGGAGTGACCCCCTGTCACAGGACCTCAGGGAATTACCTATAATCTACCGATGCCATGCAGCAGGTGTGACCTTCCCATCCCCCAGAGACGCGGGAGCGGGGACGGAGGAGGGCAGCCAGGGTCCTGGGTCGGGCTCTCCTGCTCGTTCAGGGGAAACTGAGGCAGGGAGCAGGGGCTTCCGAGCTTCTTCCCAGCCCCTCCCTGGGCCTCCTGTCTTTGCTCAGGGCTCAAGTTTGTGTGTTTATTTATATTTATTTATTTAAATCCTCCCTTGAGGATGTTTTTCCATTGATCTTTTCAGATCGAGTGGAGGGAGGGAAGGAGAGAGAGAGGGAAATATCGATGTGAGAGAGACACATCAATCGATTGCCTCCTGCACCGCTCCGACCAGGGCTGGGGACTGAACCTGTAGCCGGGTACGTGCCCTTGACCGGGAATCGAACCCACGACTCTTTTGTCCGCGGCTGATGCTGCACTGGCGAGCCAAGCCGCCCAGGGCCACGTGGACGCACTTCGGTCCGGTGCTTTCGCGGAACCGAAGACAAAGCGAATGCAGTCCCTCCAGCCCGTCGCCCAAGCTGGAGCCCTTCCCATCCGGGCGCCAGGTCCCGATCGCTCCAAAACGCCAGCTCGTCTCCGCACCCACCACCACTGTCTCAGCCTGGCTCCCCCATGGCCAGTGTCCCCGCCTCCGGCCAACCCTCCTCTCTGGTCCCCGCCCCCGCCACCCCTGTGCCAGGACGAAACAACGCTGATGACCTCCTTTCTCGCCTGAAAACCCCGGCCAGCTCCCAGGTTCCGCAGCGAGACTCAGGCTTCTCCATCACGCTCTCTGTCCCCTCCCTCCCACCATTCACTCACACCCGCACCCCACCCAGGACAGGCATGTCCCCAAACACACCGTTCCCGTTCGGCCCTGCCTGGTTTCCCGGGGTGCCCTTCCCGCCCTGTCTGTCCTGGAGGCCGCTCTCTGGGGCGCCCCCCTGTGGACGTGCTCACAGCCACGCACAGGCCGCACCGCCTCGGCCGCCCTCCGTGCTCCTGAGGGGCAGCCCTGGCCCTGCCGCCCCCCTCAGACTTCGCCAGGACGCTGCTCTGGGATCGGGGTGTGGCCCCGGCCTGAGAGCCCGGGGCCAGGGTGCCGCGCACCAGGGTGGAGACAGTTCTCGAGTCTGCAGTGGACAGCAGATCACGGCCCGTCGCTGTGGGGTGGGGGCTGAGAACCAGGGTGCGGTGGGTGGGGCAGCAGGGCTGGGACCTCCCCGCCCTTTCCAGAAACTGTGGAGTCAGGGGCGGAGCCCGCCTGGGAGCGGGTCCTGCCACCTCCGTCCTGCCCTGGCACGGACGGGCCGGCCACCGGGGCAGGGACAGTCAGCAGCAGCTGGCTCCCGACTTTCTCCTCACCACTGTCGGGACTTGGCGGACACCCTTTCCGCCAGAGGCCCTGGTCCCTGGCGAGGTGGGGGTCTCACCTCAGTTCTCTCCCTCTGAGGGGAAGTAAAAATGCCATTTGGTGTCCAGTGGCTTTTATTGCTGGTGCGGTGTGGGCGTGTGGGGTGCGGGCGTGTGGGGTGCAGCCGTGTGGGGTGCGGCTGTGTGGGGTGCGGCCGTGTGTGGCAGTGTCCGGCTGGGCCCTCCTGGTGTCCAGACAGGAGCTGCCCCCTGGCCCTGCCCCATGCCAGGAGGGCCCCAGGAGCTGGGGGCGGGCAGGGTGGGGTACGGAGGCGCAGACCCCCAGCCTCTACTTCCAGCGCCCAGTGACCTTGGCCTTCCCTCGGGTCTTGGAGCTGCAGGAGAAACAGGACCCAGTCAGGGGGACCCAGGGCGGGATCGGAGGTCTCCCAGGGTGGGCGCTGAGGGTTGAGAGAGGCCGTCTGGAGTGGGCACTGGCTAAGGGGCAGGGCACAGGGGGGCCCCGAAGGGCTGAGGAGGGCACGAGGGTGGGAGACGGGGTGGGGGGGGGACGAGGGCAGGCCACGCTCGGATACTCACACCTTCTGGTTGTCGTTGATTCTGTTCCGGAGGACATTGATCTGTAAGGAAAGCGGGGGACACTCACGGGAGCCCCTGCAGCCCAGCCCCATGGCCCAGGGAGGGGGTCACCTCTGTACCCTTCACGACGACCTCAGGAAGAGGCCTGTGCGTGACCCTAGTGAGGGCCAGAGCCAGAAACCCGAGCCAGGCAGTGTGCCCCCCAAGGTCACCTCTCTGTCACCCCCAACACTGCCTCTCCCATAGCACAGGAAGGGGGGGCCCTGCGTCTCCGGCTGAGCTGTCGGGGAGAGGCCCAGCTGCTCTGGGAGCAGTGGGGGCAAATGTGAGCTGGTGCTGAGCCCGTTTCTTGTCTGGTGTCTGGGGACCCCCCAGGCTGTGAGCTTGCAGCTCGGCCCCTGTACCCACACCAGGGCTCAGTGAAGTGGGAGCATCTCTGTGGGGCACCCTCGTACCCTGGCTCCCTGTGTCTGGGCCTCCGGGCTAATCCACGCCCATCCAGCCCGGAAGGACACCCCAAGCCTGGAGCCCCAGCAAAGCCTCAGACCTCTCCAGCAACGACAGCCCAGCGGGGGGCACGGGTCACTGGTGGGAAAGGGCACCTGGGCAGGTGTGCGGCTTAGACGGAGCGATGGTTGCGGAAGGGCCCTGACCCGCAGCAGGTGGGACCCACTCGGACCAGGAGGAGCCGGGCTGGGGGCGGGGCGCGGTGGGCTGGCTCACCTCGTATTTCTGCTGCTTGAACTTCTCCTGCAGGTCGAATTTCTCAGCCTCCAGGTCATAGATGTTCTGCCACAGCTCCTTGGCTTTCTCCCTGCACGTCCAGAGTGGGGCAGAGGGCCCGAGGACAATAAGGACGGTCCTCCATCCACCTTCATCCTCACCCCAGCCCCAGCCCCCAGGGGCTCAGACCACCTGCCCACCTGACTCAGCATGGGCCCCAGAGGGCAGGTAAGAGAGCTCAGGACTGGGGCTGCCAGGACAAGATTCTGGGGACACGGAGGACAGGGAGAAGCCCTCTAGCCCTGTAGAGCATCTACTTCGACCCCCTGGCCGCCACCTGAGCGCAGGGGACAAGGGGAGCTCGCACAGGTGAGAGGCTGCTCTACCAGCGAGGCCTGGCTGGAGCTGGCTGCACCTGCCGACACCAGTCCCCCAACGCGCCCTGGGGAGAATGTGTGGGGCGGCAGCGCCCCCTGGTGGTAGCGGCGAGAAGGCGCCCTTGGGCCGCAGGTGCCCTACCTCAGCTGGTCTTCGTTCAGGTGGTCGATGGCCAGCACCTTCCTCCTCTCGGCCAGAATCTTCTTCTTCTTTTCCCGCTCCGTCTGCCTCTTCCCAGTCCTCCGCTCCGTCTGGAAAGGGTGGCAAGCAGGGAGCCGGGTGTTGGCTGGAGGACGTCCCCTCCCGTGCCCCAGCCCCCCAAACCCTGCAGGGAGTGGGAGAGGGACCAGGTGCTCGTCCTATTCCCACAGCACCCACCCCATCGCTGCCCGGACTCCCCGGAGAATCTGAGGCTCGGGCACCGAGGGTCATTCCAGCATCTTCCTCAGCCTCACCAGGATCCCTGCTCCCCACCCAGTCCCAGTGCCACGATCCTCCCCTCCAGGGATCCCCCAAAACTAAGAAGAGGTGTACCCACCTGCGCCTGCTAAACCAGGGCACCATGACAGAAAGACCCAGAGAGAGAGGCGGAGACGACAGTGGGGGGCAGGGGGCAGGGGGGAGGCGGGTGGGAGGCAGAGACAGGGACAGAAGAAGGTGACTCAGACAGGCTCCCAGTGGGTGACCTCCCACACCAGGACGGGAGGTGGGGGGCGGGTGCTCTGCTAGCAGGGCCAGCCAGACTTTGGCTGTGTGGTCGCTGCAGGCAGGGGCTGGCCTGGCTCTGAGCTGGGACATTGGAAGGGCAGCTGGACATCCCCCTCCCATGAGACAGGCGTGGAACTGAGGGTGAGTCCCCAAGAATAAGCCACCTCGCCGGGGGGGGGGGGCTCCCTTGACCTGACAGCAGGCGGGCAGACCGTGTTAATCCCGTTTTACAAGTCAGGAAACCGAGGCCCCCACACAGCTGTCTCCAACCAGAGCTGAGCTCTACCCGCTGTGAGCAGCCTCGGGGTGGGGGGCTCCTGGGAGTGGCTGGAGTGGGGGGTGCCAGGGTGTCCAGGGCTCTCCCACAGCCCTGACCCCAGCAGGCCCCTCCTAGTAAAACCACCGCCCAAGGGGGTGGAGGGCTGGCGTGAGGAGGCGGTAGTCTCACCCACCACAGCTGGGGAGTTCCTCCTGGGCCCCCAGGACCCCGCTGCCCCTCCCACCTTCTGGATGTAACCTCCGAAGTGCATCATGTTGGAAAGGGCCTTCTTCTTGCGCGCCTCGTCCTCCGCCCGCCTGCGGTTCTCCTCCTCCTCCCGTCGGGCTCGCTCCTCCTGATTGGGGGGAGGCGGAGGTCAGGGCCCAGCCGACTGGTTCGGGGCTTTATGGATGCGTGAGTGTGTGCGCTCTCCACTGGGCGCGAAGCTTCCGAGGGTCCCCGCACAGGGTCCCCTGGCCCTCAGGAGTGTGAGGACTTTGATTACTGAATGAACGAGGCACCCCTGACTCCTGAGCCGAGGCCCCATTGCCCGTGGGCACAGGAACAGGACATGGCATCTTCACCTGCCAGGTGGCCCATGCTGAGCAAGGGACAGGCAGTCTCTTAAATCCTGAGTTCACACGCACCGCGCGTGTCTGCCTCGTGTGTGAGCAGAGCCCACGTGCCCCGCGCTGGCTGTCTCCTGACCAGCCAGCGCCCGAGCGGGGGGCTGGGCCGGCAGGAGCTGGGGCGGGGCTGCTCACCGCCAGGCGGGTCTGCCGCTCCTTCTCCCGCTCGCTGCGGATGCGCTGCTGCTCCGCCCGCTCTGCCCGCCGCTTCTCCTGTGGAGAGAGCCCAGCCGGCCGGGTGTGCATGGAGGCTGGCCCCCGGAGGAGCAGGGACACGGGGAGAGATGCCCCCACAGGGGACTTCCCTCCAGAGTCTTCCGTCCTCATGCAGGGACGCAGGGACGCAGCCCTGACAGGTGGGCGGCGTACAGAAAAGTCCTGCCCAGATAAGGCCGGGCCACGCCCCAAGCCTGCAGATGACCCTGCGATCCTCACTCGCTGCGGGGCTGGCCTCAGGGTTTGAACGCGGCAGGCTGGCTTCCCTGTCTCATGAGACCCCTGCCCCGCCGCGGCCACTGCTCTGTGCTCAGATGGAGGCCAAGTCCCCAGCGGCTCCGCAGCAGGTCAGCACAGAGAAAAGTCATCGAATACCTTCCCTCCCCTGTGAGGAGCCGTGCCCCATGGGAGGAGGGCAGGGGCAGGGCAACAGGCATTGACCGCTCACCCCAACGCCAGGGCCTGGCTGCCCTCAGCTCCAGCCCAGGAGGACTGTCCAGGCTCGGGCGGGGCCCCAAGAAGCCACAGTGCGCGATTCCTAAGGAGAACCCACTTCCAGCAGGGTTAGAGGCTTCAGGGAGGGCTGCCTGGAGGAGGTGAGGCCTAGCACTAGAGGGCTGAGGACAGGGAGGGGCCTCAGGGAGCACGGGGGTGGGAAGCAGGACACCTACAATCCGGTCTTTGAGCGAGACAAGCTCCTCCTCCTCCTTCTTCCGGTTCTCAAAGTGAGCTTCGATCAGCGTCTGCAGCTCATTCAGGTCCTTCTCCATGCGCTTCCGATGGATGTCCTGCGCGGACACCGGCGGGGCTCCAGGGGGCGAGCAGGCACACACCGCCCTCCCCCACGCCTAAGGCCTCCGGCAGGGCCTGGGCCTGGCCAGGAGGGCTCTGCGGCCTACACTGGGGGCAGTGGCAGCCTGGCTGTGCCGGACACCCTCCCATGCCACCCTCCCTCAGCCCACGGGTCACAGGTCTCTCATCCAAGGCCCCGGCCGCCGCCTCAGCCCAGGTCTGCCCTTCCCGAAGCCCCCACTCACATCGAAGTCCACTCTCTCTCCGTCGGGGATCTTGGGCGGCACCAGGTTGGGCATGAATGGCCTGTCGGAGAGAAGAGCTGTGAGCACCAGCCCGCCCTGGGCCGAGGGGCTGCGGTCTGGGCACCCAGCAGGACGCAGCTCTCATTGCATTCCGTTCTGTCCTCACGCTGTCCCCCTGAATCTCATGCAAGAGCCCGGAGGCTCAGAAAACAGTGACTTGCTCAGAGCCACACCACCGGGAGGTGGAGAGGCTGTGACCAGGCTGACCCCACAGACTCTCCCAGGAGCCCGGGAGTCCTGCAGTTTGGCCCCTGCTCCCCGACATACTGTGACAGGGGGCCGGTGGGGTCCAGTCCCCAGTCTCCCCATCTGCCCACGAGTCTGTGTAGGGCTGCTGTGTGCACGCAGGTGGCCAGGGAGGGGAGGGTTCTGGACAAATGATGGAGCTGGGGTGTCTGGCCCAGGCTGGTCACAGTCTGTCCCCCTGAACTGGGCAGTGTCCCCTAGTGAGTGTGACCGGCACATCCCAGCCCACGCCCTCCCTCTCCGGCCCTCTGCTCCCGGGGCCTGGCTGCAGGTATGTCCTGCTCACCTGGGCCTGGGTTTGGACTCCCCCACGGGGCCATCTGCGGAGGAGAGAAGCCACCGGGTCAGGAGGTCCCAGCTCTGGTCCCAGCTCTGTCCCAAGGGGCTGGGTACTGTGGGCCTTCATTTTCCCATCTGCACAGTGAGTCCCTTACAGCCCTGGACTCCCCGTGCCAGGAGCACCCGCGGGGATGCAGGCCCCAGGAGCACCTCTCCCCAGAGCTCCCAGGGCGCTGACTCCAAGCCCCGTGGGCGCCCTCCCTCCAGAGCTGTGGCTGTGGCCACAGCGGAGACCACCACGTGGGCCGGCTCTCCCCCTGCAGACCCTGCGCTCTGAGAGGTTCTGCCTGAGCTGGAGAAGCTCATGTGGGGGTGTGACTTCTGAAACCCGGCTGCGCGTGGGGACCTGGGTGCTGTCCCCCTCCCACTGGGCAGCTTCTCTGGAATGAGGAGGGGCAGGGGCATGAAGCCCAACATCCCAAACCTGCAGGCCACCAAGGCCATCCTCTCCCCCAGAGCCACTGGGAGGGGCCCCTCGCCACCCAAACCTCTCTCCTGGTGCCCACAGTCCTACCTCCACCTCCAGCCTCTTTACCGTCCTCTTCCTGTCTGTCATCTAAACAGAACGGGAGGCGTTAGTGCAGGTCCTGGCTCCCAGGTTCCCCTGCAGGAGCCCCTGACAAGAAGGGGCCGGTGCACCTGCTGACCTCTGGGTCCAGAGCCATCTGTTCTCATACACATGCACACAGCTACACGCATACACATGTACACACACGTTCACACCCATGCACACAGCCACACGCATACACATGTACACGCACGTTCACACCCATGCACACAGCCACATGCATACACATGTACACGCACGTTCACACCCATGCACACAGCTACACGCATACACATGTACACACACGTTCACACCCATGCACACAGCCACACGCATACACATGTACACGCACGTTCACACCCATGCACACAGCCACACGCATACACGTGTACACACACGTTCACACCCATGCACACAGCCACACGCATACACATGTACACACACACATGCATGCAGCCACATGCATACACAGGTACATCCACACCACCACACACACAGACACATGTACACACACATGTACGCACATGTGCCCTGGCCCAGACGCTGCCCCACACAGAAGGGCCCAATGTCACAGATCCTCAAGGACAATTGACCATTGCGTCCCAGCCCAGACGGGAGGTGCAGAGGTGCAGGTTGGAAGCGTGTCTGAGTGGATCCCTTCCCCCTACAGGTGTGGCTGGGGGCTCTGGCCACCACAGCGCCATGTCGCAGCCCCTGCACCCCCCCCAGAGCCCCACCGGCTGCGTTGGTCTCCTCGGCCTCCGCCTCCGCCTCCGCCTCCGCCTCCCCGTCAGCCTCCTCTTCTGCTGCCTCCTCTTCCGCAGCCTCTTCCTGCTCTGGAGAAACGGCAGACACGGGCAGACAAGCGGACACTGGGCCCTGCCCGCGCTCACCGCAGCTCCCAGGGCGGGAGGGGTGGGCATGGGGTCAGCAGACCCAGGTTCGGCCAGCTCGGGCCCCAGGGTTCCTGTCAATAGCGTTGGTTGGACACAGCGAGACCTTCGGCGACAGCACAGAGCAGAGAGGGTGACTCAAAGCTGCGTGACCACAGCCTCAGGCACGTGTCCCTGCTCCACACGAGGTCTGCGGAGCCCGTGCGTCATGCGGAGGGCACGGGCCGTCTGCAGTCTGGGGCCAGGGCTGGGCTCTGCAGGCGGAGACCTGTTCTCTACTTGAAGGCCATGGGGGCTGGACACCTGGGCAGGAGCGTGTTGGGGTGCGGTGGCGGGAAGTCTGTCTGCTGCTCTGTCTGCCTGACTTCGCTCCTGCCTCCCCGCAGCCTCCCTGGCGACGCCACCTCCACCCGCCCCGCTCTCCCCCCGCTGGCCTGGCCCTGGCCCTGCGGAGCTGAGGGGCCAGGCGGTGGCGCCGGGTGAGAGATTGGCCCAAATCGATGGCTGAAGCCGGATGATGGGTGCACGGCGGGAGGTGCGGCATTGTTCCAGTTTTGCTACTTTTACATGCATTGAAAACTTTCTATGGTAAATTAAAAAAAAAAAAAAATAGAGGAAAAAAAGCAAAAATAGTTCATTGGAAAAAGTGGTGATTTTGTTTGAGCCATTTGGCGTTAGACAGGACAGTGACAGGCTTAGCCTTCTGCCTTGAACCTGAGCGACCGAGGTCGGGGCTGGTCCTGCGTAGGAGCCACGGTGTGGGAGTGAAGGACGGGACAGACAGCTTCTCGGGGCTCCCAGGAGGACTGGGATCCTGGGGGCCCTCCCACCCCCCCATCAGCCCAAGCCCCATACCTTCCGCAGCTGCTTCTGCTCCGAGAAGGTCACGGGGGCAAGAAAGGAAACAAGAGGGGGGTCAGTTTCAAACCAGGCTGTGTCCTTCCTCCCCGTGAGCGTGCAGGTGCTTACCTTCCTGCTCCCTGCGGAGAGAGGACACTGTCAGGGATGTGCACACACTCACACTCTCACACTCTCACACTCACACTCACACTCTCACACTCACACTCTCACTCTCACACTCATGCACTCACACATGCTCACACACTCACATTCACACACACTCACACACTCACTCATTCACTCACACTCACGCTCACACACTCACACTCACACACTGACACACACTCTCACACACTCACACTCTCACACTCACTCACTCACACTGACACACACTCTCTCACACACTCACACACGAACCCACACACACTCCCGGGGGCCCCGGAGCAGGTGGGAGGAGACAGCACAGGGACAGGTGGATGGACCGGCCACCCGGACTCACCCCTCGTACTCCTCCACGGCCTCTTCTGCGTCAGACATGGCCTCTGTCCCCCCAGAAAGAGAAAAACCGTCAGTGTGGGCTGGAGCGGACCGGCTCCCTCAGCTCAGCCCCTGGTCAGTCCTGGGCCAGCTCTGTGGCGGTAACACTGTCCACATCCTAAGTGACTTGTCATGTGTTGTGCAAATGTCACCACTGGGGGAGCAAGGCAAAGTGCCTGACGGAGCGGCCGGATCTTGTGATGCTGTCCCCTCGGGATGCGCAGCTGGAGACAAGCCCCGGGCTGGGGGCAGGGGGGGGGCGTCTGGCCAACACGTTCTGCCCCGGCCCCAGGGGAGCGGCCAGCCGGTGGCTGAGAACTGGGGGGGCTGCTCTGCAGCTGGGAAGAGTTGTCACCTTAGGGAGAGGCTATGCATGGCCAGCAGGGGGCAGGGGGTCTCTGGCGCCCCCCTCCTCTCCTGCCCTGCCTCCCACCAGCTCGGAGCCCCTGGCCCTGGGGTACAGAGGAGGAGGGAGCAGTGTGGAGCCTTCTCCCTGCTCCTGGGAGCACCGCCCAGCTCCCCAAAATAGCACACCAGCCCTGGGGGCCGGGGAAGCCTCTCAGATGAGGCTGCAGCTGGCCAGGTGCCCGAAGGCAGGACCAATGAGGGCTCAGGGACAGGCTGAGCTGGGGGCTCCAGAATGGGAGACAGTCGAGAACCTGGCAGAGCAGGTGTGATAATTCCCTCAAGCAACTGTTCCCCTGCCCCCCGCCGCGCCCCACCCGCTCCCACAGAGGGGCTTCCTCGCCCCTCCCTCCACTGCCTTCCCTGGGACTAAAGCAAACACAGTGGACAGAAGAAAGAATACGGGCCATGGAGCCAAAGTGTGGGTTTAAAAAAAAAATCTAGTTTTTGCTGTGCGACCTTAGTTCAGTCACTGAACCTCTCTGGGCCTCTGTTGCCCTCCCTGTAAAGTGGATGAGCTTCGACTTCCGGTCTTGCGAAAGCCTGAGTTTCTGAGGAATGGAACGCCATCCTTCAGCCGTTGTCCCCCACTCAGCTGGGACAGCCTTAAAGCTGCGCCATCAGCCAGGAGAGCCGGGGACAGGACGTGAGGTGTGGGGGGCTGGGGGCAGGAGGGAGGGCAGGGGCAACCGGAGCCTCGCAGATGTCCCTTCTGCCCCAGAGAAGGAGCTGTCCTTTAAGATTCGTGTCACTAGGCCCAGGATGTGCTTGAAATTCCTGTTACTCCAGCAACCCCCCTCCCCAAGTATGTTCTCCCCTGCGCGGGAGAAGCTGAAAATCAAGGGAAGGTCTCTCTGTGGGGTGGGGAGCTAGACTCGGGGGTCACCCTCTAATCCAACGAGCTGGGCTCACCCCTCTGAAAGGCCCTCCCAGCCCGGCTGTCTGGGAAGGGGGGGTGCTGGGTCTGGGAACTCAGATGAACTTCATCTGCTGGACTGTGGTCCTTCTCGGGGCCCCCAGGGCTGTGTCTGGGGTCCTGGGGAGAAAATGTGAGCCCCAGGACGGCTCTGAGGGTGTGGCCAGGCTCACTCCGCTCTCTGGGGACCAAGAAGGACCTGACTGGAAACTTTGGGGTGTCCCTGACGCAGTGCATTTAGGGAGACAGGGGCCTGATGGGGAGCCCACCCATCCTGCCGATGAGGAAACTGAGGCCCGGGACAGAGCTAGCCCCCCAAGGGCTCCCCAACTGCAATGTCTCTAGTGGCAGATGCGCGGTTCAGACCCGAGCCTCCAATTTCTAACGGAGGGTCACGCTGTGCCTGGAGCCCTGTGTCACCTGCTTCAAAGCCTCCCGGTGGAGGGGACATGACCTCCGTGGACTCCGGCCGTCCTCAGAGTAGACGCAGGCAGAGTGCGGACGAAGGAGTCAGGACGCCAGCCCCCATCCCTCACTCCCCAGCCCCCCTCCTGCGTCTCCTCGAGTCTTACCTCTGAGCAGGGCAGCTAACAGACAGGCGCCTGGGCAGGGACTGGACGAGGACACGGGGCGGGCAGGGCTTTAAGCAGGCGCACGGCCGGCCTTGGGAGCCTTGCCTCGCGGGGGGGCGCAGGGGCGGCGGCGGTGGGCAGGGGGCGTTGGCTGCTATGCTGGCAGGTGCCGGGGACAGGGCGGACGGAGCACGCTCATCTCCATATAAGCCCATGTGGTGGTCCAGCTGCTCAGATAAGCTATTTAAAACCAGCCCAGATATGCAGGGGACAGAGGGGAAGCAGGTGTGTGACACAGGCCAGCTGTCCCTCTTGACACTCCTGATAAAGCAGATGCCAGCAGCCGGGGCCTGGGGCAGAGGCTGGGGGCAGGGCTGGGGGCAGGGCTGGGGGCAGGCGGCAACCCCCAAGACATGCCCGAGCATCTGGTGGGCGGAGACAGCCTCCAGGCCCCTGGCTGCTTCTCGTGGGCTGAGTGGCCTTCTCGGGACACAGGTCTGCGGGCCTCGCGGGGACACAAAGCAGGTGTTCTCCAGAAACCCAAAGCCACGGGACAGGCCCTGCGCTCTCCTACGTCCAGTCGGGGTGCTGTCTCCCCGGCACAGGCAGCTGGCTGCGTGGGGACCGTTGCTCACCGGCCGGGGATGCTGCACCGCTAGACTGTGACCCGCAGGGCCGGGCCCAGGGCTCCCCATCGTCTGCCAACCAGTGTATGTTTAGGGCTCAGTGTGACCACAATGAACGAGCAGAGCAAACCGTGCCGGCGGCAGCCACGCTAACTCTCCGCCTCTCTGAATCTCCAAGGCCCCGGCCCAGCTCTGAAGAAGGGGCGCCCCTTGTCTGGACCAGGCTTCCCCTCCCGGTGCCCCCGAGCCCTGACCCCTCGGCCCTCAGGCCTTGCCTCTCAGTGACTCGAGCTCTTCTCTGGGCAAAGGCAGACTCGCCCATTCTCTGCCCGCTGCTCCCCTCGCCTGACCACGCGTCCAGCCTTCCCAGCCCTGCTGCCTGGGGGCCACCGTGCCGCCCCCCCACGTCCTGCAGACGCCCCCACAGGCAGGTCGCCGGCTTCTTTCTCGCCCACTCTGCTCTCGGACGCTTGTCCCATCAGTCAGCTGAAACCGTCCCCTCCGTGGTCCCCAGCGGCCTCGGAGCCCAGTGGCCTGGTTCCACCCCCACCCTGGGCTCATCTCCTGCCACGGGGCCCTCCATCCGGCCAGCATCCTGGGCACAGGCCGAGAGGCGGCGCCGAGGGCAGATTCAGGGCAGCGGTGAGGACCAGGCTTACATTGAAGCCACCAGGGCCGAACTTTGTGTCCCGGCCTGGGATTCAGCAGTCGTGTTTGCTAGACCTTCCCTTGATGAGATGCCTCAGGGCTTGGGCTCCCTGAAGCCCAGCAATCCTTCCGGCAGATTCTAGCCTCTTTGCAGGGACGCCTACAGAGGGGACCGGGCAGCGTCCCCCGGGGCCCCCGGGAAACCCGGACCTTCTCTCCATGAACGTGGGGCCCCCTGATGGCTCGGAGGCATGGGTCTCACTTGGAGAGCGGGGAGGCAGTCCCCTAGCTGGTGAGACCGGCCAGCCACCCGCAGCAGCCACGCCAGGGCACGGCTGCTCCCAACCCCTCTCGAGACCCGTCCTTGCCAGTGGGCACAAAGCCGTGGCTGGGAGGGGGGACGGTGTCTGTCCAGAGCTGCGCTGGAGGACAGACTGCACGTGTTTGCCGACGAGGGCCCGCCGAGGACGGACCACGGGCGGGGTCCCAGGCCCCGGAGCGGGACAGCAGTGCCTGGGGAGCCCCTCCTGAGCAAGCAGCGAGGACAGGGGCCTGCTGGACAAACGCACCTGCCGGGGACTTTCCAATGTTTGGAACGTGAGCCCCAAAAGGCATGAGGCTCCTTGTTTGAGCCCCAAGCCCCTGGCCGGACCCGAGCCGTTCGGGTCCTGTGAGTCCCTGGGCAGTGCCCACCCACCCCTCCCCTGCCCAGCTGGGACACACTCAGGTTGGAGTCTGGTTGGGGGAGCAGGGGTGCAGGTCCCAGTTCCAGCTCATGCAAGCATGGGGGCCGGCAGGGGGGACCTGCGGCTGGAGGCAGCAGCCTGGGGTCACAGATGGGGCTCTGAGGGCCTCCGGTCCCTGAGACCATGAGATTCGAGACAGAATGTGTTACCCTCAAGGGGCGTGTTCCGAGAACCCCTGGAGTTTTCCAGGCAGATGGGGGGCAGGAGGGATGAGAAAAGCAGCCATATGAGTACATTTTTTTTTCTTTATTGATTTTAGAGAGAGAGGAGGGAGAGGGAGAGAGAGATAGAAACATTGATGAGAGAGAACATCGACTGGCCGCCTCCTGCACGCCCCCCACTGGGGATCGGGCCCACAGCCTGGGCATGTGCCCTCAACGGGAATCGAACCAGCAAGCTCTTGGTGCAGGGTCGATGCTCAACCACTGAGCCACACTGGCTGGGCCATATGTGTACATTTTAAAAGTGCAGCACTGACCGGGGCCCTGGTTCGTTTGCCTGGATTTTCAGATGGCAGTGTGTCCAAGCTTACACGGGCCACAGTGTTGGGGGTTGGGGAGCTGGGTTTTGGGAGAGTGCACGTTTGAGGGGGACTGGCAGTTGTACCCCCAGAATCCCTACAGAGGATGACTGGATGCAACCCACCTTAATGTGAGGAAAAGAGGGGGTGCTAGGAAAATGATGGCTGACCCCCCAACCAAAACAATCCACACACCCACCCCAGCTCCCAGCCACTGCGATGACCCACGAGGAAGCAGGGTGAATGAGTCTATCGGCTCGTCCCTGAGAACAGAAGGGTGAGGGCGGGGAAGGGCAGAGGGCCCGTGGGCAGTGGGGGACAGCGGGGCACAGGCGGGAAGAAGACAGAACAGCTGCTCCACCGTGGGGGCTCGGCCAGCGGGGGGCAGGCCCTGGAGGGAGGTGGGGACACCCGAGTCTCAGCAGAGGAAAGACACCTGCTGGGAACAGATGGGGCAGGTGGCGCTGGAGTCCCGGACAGACCGCGCTGCCCTGACCCTGGAGGGAGCAGGAGACAGGAGACCTGTGGACAGACCTGAGGCCCCAGGGTGCTGCTGAGAGGCGGGGCGGTGCCCAGGCTGACAGGGACCCCGGGCTCCGCCGTGCCTGCCATCGGACAAGACGGAGCCAGGTCACACCTGCCCGAGCCTAGCTGGGAAGGAGTTGCCGGAGCCCTCGGGCAGTCCCGGCCCGGTCCAGATGCAGAGAGGGATCAGGGCAGTGGGAGATGGGGTACAGCTTCGGGGGGGCTGGCATGAGGAAGGCCCTCGAGACAAACTGGCAGGTTGTCCTGGCAGGGTCATCACACCTGTGGGCAAAGGTCTGTAAGATCGAGGACACGGGCGCCTAGGGCTGGAGGGGAAGGGGTCCCTGGACAGGGAGGCCTTCCTTTGCCCAAGCCCCACACCCACTCTGGTCCAGAGAATCCAGTCTGGGGGGTTAAGAGGGTGCGGCCTGCAGGGCTGGGGGTGTGGCCGGCTGGGGGTGCAGCCGGCTGGGGCTTCGACCAGGGTTCAGGAGATTCCCATCAGCCCGAGAGCAGAACAGGGCCATTCTGGGTATGTGGACTGGGTGGACTGCAGTTAGTGTGGGCGTGGTGGGCGTGGGCATGGGCGTGGGTGTGGGGCGTCCCCTGGGCAGCCCCTCCCCCTCCTCTCACCTCAGCATCCAGGGATAATTCCGCCCTTTTCCCCCACTGGGTCCTCTTGGTGGTGGTCGAATCCTTCTGCACCTCCTGGTTGGGGCATCAGGGTGGGGACCAGGGACTAAGGCAGTTTGCAGAGGGGCTCGGCCCTCAGCCCCTCCCCTTTCTGGGAGGGAGGACCCCAGCCCCATCCCTCCTCTCTGCTGTCCCCCAACCCACAGCTTCTGCCCAGCCCCATCCATTCCCACTGCCCTTTCCTGGGGTACCCCTTCGCTCTGGAGGCCCCCTGACCCACCTCACTCTACCACTGAAGGGCTCATGGTCAGAGGCCTCGGGTAGGGATGGGGTACCTGGGGTACTTGGGGGCCCTGGTCTCCAGACTCCTGGGTCCTGCTGATCCACAGATTGAGCCGTGACGTCACGACCCCGGAGAGCTTCAAGTTGTCCTGAAAAGAGCGACCCCTCAGAGACCGGACCGGACAGGACGCCACCCCACATCCACCGGCACCACAGCGGAGGCCTGAAGGCCCCTCCCCCAGGAGCTGTGGAGACCCCGGCTCAGGACACGAGGGGTAGCTCAGGCCAAGCCCCTCACCTTGCGGCCGGAGGCTGGCTCTGCCCGGCTGGGGCCTGCCAGCTCCTTCTCAAAGAGGTGGCGCTTGCTGGCCACGCCCACGGGTGCCACGAAGAACTCGGTGCGGGAGGAGCCGGGAGACCTCACGGACTCCGACCTCTGGGAACAGAGAGCACAGGTGCTGACCCTGGAGCGGGGCGGGGCGGGGCGGGGCAGCGCCCCCCTCACACCCGGTGCCAGCGCCCCCGCACGACCCTCGCCCACCTGGATGGCCGTGTGGTATCTCTCCAGCTTTTCGCCCAACTTGACCGGGAGCCTCACGCTGGCACTGCAGGACAGAAGGACAGGGTGAGACAAACCACAGGTCTGCCCACCTCGATCGCTGGGGGAGGCTCTGATGAACTGACCCAGGTGGATCCGCAGACCCCAAGACTGTCCTCGCCCCCTGGAGACAGACCGAGAGAGGGACCAGAACTCTGCTACCCTCCCCGGGACGGTCACTTCCACCCAACAGTCCCCTGACGCTCTGCCACCTGCCCCACCATCGTGGTCACCTGTGCCCACCCACCCCTGCCAGCCACCCGAACTCCCTGCATGTCCTTCCTGTCCTTCCGGCTCGAACCCTCAGGCCTCAGGACAGAGACAAACTCCGGGCCCAGCGGACAAGGCTCCTATGAGCTGGTCCCCGCCTCCCCTCCTGACAGTGTCCCCCAACCCTCCTCCACCTCCTCGTGTGCCCCCAGTCTGCTTCCTCCAGGTCAGATGCAGCCCCGCTTCCTGTCTGGAAATGCTGAGTCCCTGTGACGTGTTCTTCAGCCCTGCAGGCTGAGCTGGGACAGACCCTCAGACACCTCCCTGCTGGCGGCCCTGACGTGGGGCTTGAAGCCTGTGTCGTGTCCATCTTCGTACCCCGCGCCCCCAGCCCAGTCGGCCCCAGACGGCGGGTCTGAGTGAAGGTCCAGGGCCAGGTGGGCCCAGTGTGAACACCCAAACTTCCTACCACACACGCCACCTCTGATTTCGGGGTTTGGCTTTGTTTTTCCAACACACGGCTACTGCCAACAACATCTGGGGGCACGGGGTGCTGTTAAACATGCAGCCCCCCTTCACTTCGAGGCTGAACCCTCCTCCACCTTGGCAGCCCCCCCAAGCCCTGCCTCCTCTGAGAAGCCCTCACTGACCCTCCAGTCCTGCCCTTCTCCTGGGCCTCAGTCCCTCCTGGGCATCCAGGCCCCCTGGCGGCTCTGGGGCCCTGGGCGAGAACTGTGCCCCCCCCCCCGGGTGCCCTCAGGAGCAGCCTGGCTCAGCAAACAGGCCGAACGTGACCAGACGGGAGAGCCGAGCCTCTGGCCCTGACCTGCGGGTTAGGGTTGCTTCCGAGTTGTTTATCCTGGGGCTCATCTGAAAAGAGAGAAAAAGGTGCTGGTGAGTGTGTGGCAAGGGGTCCCGTGGCCCCCTCAAGGGAGGGGCTCGGCTCTCGGAACACTTCCTCCTCCTGCCTCCCACCCTCCACTGCCCAACTCCCCCTCAACCTCGATGAAAGGCCCCGTTCTTGTCGGGGAGACACCTGCCCCCATCTACCAATCTGGGTCAAAAGCCTCTCCTGGGGCCCCTGCAGGTGTTCTTGGGGTACCTGCAGCCACCTGCTGTGCTGCCTGCCCCCCACTGCCCATGAGCTCTGTGGGGGCCTCCAGCCTCCTCCCCAGAGCCTGGCATGACGCAGTCAAAACAGTGAGTGACCAGGAACACAGGGACTAAGAGTAAATCCTGACAAGGGCCAGGCGAGGGTCCCCAGGCCGGACGATCTGCGTTATGGGGGCCGGGCAGAGCAGAGCTGTCTGCCCCAGACCCTCAGGTGAGGACAGGAACGGGGGGAGGCAGGCCTGTGCCCCCACCCCTCAGCACCCCTCAGCACCCTGCCAGCATCCCCGCCGAGCGCCACGTTCCTGCAGCTGCAGCGCTCACCACCAGGGGGAGCTGCTCTCGTGGGTCTGTATTCACCTTCCAAGTCACTGACCCGCCCTTGGGTAACTCAGTCTCCTCTGCTTTGACCCCCAGCGGAATCCAGAGCCCCCCACCGTCCAGACCGTCTTCCTGGTGCCTGACCCAGGCCTCTGTGCTGTCACAGACCCTGGTTCCCTGGGCTGGCCCTCCAGGGGGCAGGAGGGTGCCCGGCCCTCACCCGGAAGGAGATGGTTCTGGGGCTGGAGCGCCGGAGGGAGCTGCTGTAGGTGGCCTGGGCAGGTGAGAACGTGTCCTCCTCCTCCTCCTCCTCCCTGCTGGGAATCTTCACCTGGACGAGTGGGGAAGTGTCACAGGTGCTCTGGAGCGCCCCGAACCCCAGCTGCCATGGACCCCAGGGGCCGCAGGGGGAAGCGGGGTGGTAGGGAGGCACTGTGCCTGCCTTTGCTGTGAGGATGGTGGACACAGTGCCCGAGAGCCAGGCACAGCACCAGGGGAACTGCCGGAGGGCCCCGGACCCGGAGCCAGGCACCTGGAATCCAGGCGCTGGGCAAGGATTTGCCCCTCATTTCACAACTCATGCCCCCTCGGCACCAGAAGCCTGCCCTGCCTCGGTGTCCCCTTCTGCCAGGGACTGGGAGCAGGCAGGGGGAGGACACGGCCCACGTCAGCCTGAAGGTGGGAGGCCGGACGGCAAGGGAGCCAAGGCACCGGGCAGAGTGGGGTGGGGGCACTGCCAACCTGGAGCGTGATGGGTGGGAGGCGGGAAGCCACGGCCGGAGGGTTGCTCGCCCCTGGCTCCGTCGACAACAGGCGCTGCTTTCCAGGGACGGCCCTTGCTCCTTTGCTTCCCTCAGCTGCGGGCTGCTCCCGGGCTGGAGGCTGCTCCCGGGCCTGAGGCTGCTCCCGGGCCTGCGGCTGCTCCCGGGCCTGAGGCTGCTCCCGGGCCTGAGGCTGCTCCCGGGCCTGCGGCTGCTCCCGGGCCTGAGGCTGCTCCCGGGTCTGCGGCTGCTCCCGGACCCGCGGCTGCTCCCGGGCCCGCGGCTGCTCCCGGGCCCGCGGCTGCTCCCGGGTCTGAGGCTGCTCCCGGGTCTGAGGCTGCTCCCGGGCCCGCGGCTGCTCCCGGGCCCGCGGCTGCTCCCGGGCCCGGGGCTGCTCCCGGGCCGGAGGCTGCTCCCGGGCCGGAGGCTGCTCCCTGGCCGGAGGCTGCTCCCGGGCCGGAGGCTGCTCCCGGGCCGGAGGCTGCTCCCGGGCCGGGGCCCTCTTTGGGACCAGCTTTGTCTCTGAGACCTGTGCCTTCTCAAAGATCAACGCCTTCTCAGACACCAGTCTCCTTTCTGAAGCTGACGTCTTCCCTGAGGCCGGCTGCCTCTCGGGGACACCCGATTTTTCTGGAGCTGGTTTCTTCCCGGACACGTCCGTCTTCGCTGACACTGAAGCTCTCTCAGTGCTGGGGGCTTCCTCTGAGCTCAGCCTGTTTTCCAGCGCTGACGTCTTCTCCGGAACGCAGGGCTGCTTCTCCGGGACTGGGGACTTCTCCGAGACCCCCTTCTGCCTGCCCCCGGGCTCGCTGCCTGCCGGGCTCTCCTCCTCCCGGGCCCAGGGGCCCCGCTGCTCCCGGCTCAGCCTGCGGCGAGGCGGGGCTCCCGGCTCCTTCTTGGGTGCGAGGGGCGGCTGCTTGGCCTGCCCGGGCCCCGAGCTGCGGCTCCCCTCCTCGGCCTCCGGCCGCTCCTGGTCGGGCACCTGCGCGGCCTCCACCGCCTGCCGCCTCAGCCTCCGCTCCTGCCGCAGCCTGAGAGCGGCCTGGACAGACTCGCCCTCATCCCGGGGGGCTGGCGGGGGTGGTCTGGGCACCTCCGGTTCTTCCACACTTGGCAGTCTGAGCCAGGAGATGGGAGAGAGTCAGAGGACATCTACGGCGGGAGAGACACTGGGGTGCCTGGCCCAATGGGGACGCCACCAGGGCCACTGGGGGGGATAGAACCCTGGCCGTCCCCACCACCACCATCACTAAACTAAGGATCACTTCCGGCTTCTTTACATCCAGGGCTTCTGAGATGTCATTTGAACAGGACACGCCACGCATGTCCACAGAGTTTATAAACCCCGGTAAGGTCCGACCACCCAGGCACAGACCCGATCAACAAACGGACCAAACGACTATGTCATGGGTGCCGGGCCCCGTGCCGGGCTAGGGATCCAAGGAAAACGTCGGCCCCGCCTCGCAGCTGAGATGAAGGCCAGAGGTTTTAGGGGTTTGTCAAAGGCACCCAGGCTCCGAGGCATGACCCGCACTCCGGCCCCCCACGTGGTGGAGCCCAGGACGCCCACCCGGCGCTCCCTGCTCTGGGGGACCCACAGGAGCGAGGGGGCTTGAGAGACTGCCCAGTCCCCCGGTGCGTGGTCTCCAGCAGGGGGCTCCTTCCCTCCCCCAGCACCTGCTCCTCCTGCGACTGCAAACCAGGGGCACGAGGCTTGTCCCGGGGGGGAGCCCAGCACAGTCCGGCTCCCAGGAGACGTCTGGGAAACCCTGGGCCCTTCTCTTCCTGGCCCTCAAACCCCAAGGCTAGGTGGCCAGCCAGGCAGCCACCTCCCCCCACTTAGAGGGGAATTACAGAGGGTCCGAATTTGGAGGCGCAGCCTGGTTGAAAGGGAAAAGTGGAGCCCAAAGCCGGACAGATTGGACAGCACACCGGCCCTGCCACGCCAGGTGTGTACGCCTCCCCCGTGTACGCGGTGACTCAGTTTCTCCGCCTGTGAGTGGTTCATGGCACCTCTCTGGGGGATACTGGGAGGACTGAGTGCGTTATGTCCACTGATGCCCAGCGAAGTCCCAGCTCCGGAACAGAACCACGGAATCCCGGCCAGCAGGGTGGTGAAGCGGGTGGCGCCAGGCAGGGCCCCCGAGGGGCTGGGGACAGGGGGACCAGCCTGTTCCTTTGCATGCCCTACGCCGCATCCCCGGGCGGGCCTGAAGCTGCCAGCGCCGCCACCGGGAGAGGATGCGACCCTGGCCCCCACCCCGACCGCGCACCTGTCGGAAGAGGGGCGCCCTCCGTTCTGGGCGAGCCCCGGTGACCTGTCCTCGGAGGTGGAGCTGAGGTTCCTGTGGCGTCGCCGGCGCTCACGCTGCTGCTCCTCCTGGTCCTCCAGGCTCCACTGCTGGGCCAGGCTGCGGGCGGGGAGGGGAGGAAGGGCCCAAGGCTCAGGAGGGCGGGGAGCGCCGGCCTCTCGGTGGCGCCCCCTGCAGGCGGCGACGGGCGCTGACCCGTGCGTGCTCAGCGGGGAGTCACACGGTGTGGACACGGTAAGAGACGGACCCTGAGGGGTAATTCTGTGTGTGGGGTCACGTGTTGAGATGACGTTTTGGATTTTTGGAGTAAGTCTGATATGTTGTTAAAAGTGAATCATCATCCTGTGTCCTTTTACTCTTTTAATGGGCCAACCACAAAGTTTTACATTTTAAGTGGGGGTGGCTCGCACTGTACGTCTATTAAGCGGCTCTCAAATTTCTGCCCAGGCTGCAGGATTTGGGTCAGACCGAGTCTCAGGACCAGACATGGCTGACACTGGTCTGGTCTCCGTGGGCGGGGCTGTCCCAAACAGGGCCTGCCCCCCCCCCAGGTGTGGCAGACAAAAATGTTCCCCAACATTGCTGGATGTCCCCTGGGGGGCAAACCCACTCCTGCCGACACCCTCAGGGTCAGCCTTGACCATGGGCCCCACAGTGGGAGCGTGGGTCCCTGTCTGGGGTGACTGGGAAGGTGGGAGGGGCAGGTGAACCCAACAAGCTCCTCCTCATTTTTGGGCCACGGTTTTGTCAGCCACAACCCCTCAGTGGACAGGGACAGACACTCCCTCCGTTACCCGACTCCCCGTGGATTTCCCAGTTTTCAGAGGGGAGACACAAATAAGGTAACTGTCCCTGGAGGAGGTTCCAATGTCATCGTCCCCTCACTTCTGGGGGCCCTTTGGGTCTCTTTCACCTTGAGAACCAGCTTTCACTTGCTGGGGAGCAAGGGCCCCTCCACCCTTCACTCCCAGGACCCACCAGAGGTTCTCACAACCACCCACCCACCCACCAGCCCCCAGCTCCCCCTCCAACCATTGCCCCACCCACCGCCTGCCAATCAAACACCCCCTAGCCACCTCCCCATTTCCCGCCCATTCCCACCCACCCACTAATCACCTGCCCACCTGCCCTTCCCTCCCACCCAAAGAGCAACCTTGATGGGCCCCTCCACAACGGGACGGCGGGTCACCGACAAGGAGGGTCCCCGCCCTAGAAACACCGACTGTCCAGGGAGAAAAGGAAGCATGTCCGTCGTGACCCCCCCCCAGTCCTCCTGCTGCAGGTGTCTGCTCCCCACACTGGAGACGGACTCAGTCAGGGCCGCCTGGCCTGGACCCCAGGATGTGAACACGGTGGCCCTGGCCGTCACAGGAGCCCCGAGCTCACAGGTGCACGGATCCCTCATTCACTCACTAGTGTGAACAGGGGTCTCTCGCACGCCGGGCTCCTCGGCTCCCCTGGTTCAGCCGACACACCCCTGCCCCAGCCCACAGTTCCCATTGGCTCTAGGCCTCCAGAGTGAAGACCCATCTGCCAGGGCAAGTGACCCACAAAGTAGAAGCTCCTGTTCCTGACCACACCCGGGCAGGGCTGCAGCTGCCAGGACTCCCTGGTCCTGAGCAACCCCGTTCCGGCCCATGATCCCCGGGGGAAGTGGCCCTGCATGGGGTGTGATCTGTCAGGGCCTGGTGTTCTCAGAGCGACTCACTCCCGGGCGAGTCCTAGCCCTGAGGGGTCTGCCAGGGGTCCTTGGGTGGCTCCCAGGTTTGCGCCAAGACCCCCAGAGCCCACCCAAGGGGATGAGATCACACCAGGCCCTGCTGCTCAGAAATCACGGGGCTGGGGCCACCCCTGCTGCAGTACCTGGCGGGCCCTTCGTCGTCCCACCCTGAGCACCCTCCGAAGACGAGGACACGAGAGAACTACAGGGAAGCAGGGACACCGCTCGGGCTCCAGGAGGGACCTCCGCAGTCACTGAACCCCCACAATAAAAGACGGTGATGAAGGGCTGAGACCGGTGCTTCCGTCACGAGAGGCGCACGGGTATCGCAGCCTGTGGAAGAGGCGCGGGAGGCGGGGGCACGAGCAGGGCACTGCCTGGCACGTTCTCAGTGTTTCAGGGCCTTGCCGTCTTATGCCCATTTTGCAGAGGAGGAAACTGAGGCTCATGGGGTTAAGACCTTTCTCAAGAGAGCATGGCAAACACACAGGGACTGAGCTTCCATCCCGGGACAGCCTGTCAGAGCCAACGCCGGAGGAGGCTGCTGGGCAGGCCGGCCCTCCACCCTCCCAGAGCCCAGCTGAGAGAGGAAGGGAGCCTGGGAGGCGGCCGGGGCTCCCCACCCAGGACACGCTGAGCTGGAGGCTCAGCCAGGGGAGCAGGTTTGGGGAAACGAGCAGCCAACACACTGGCCCTTCGAGCTCCAGAGCCAGGCCTGGTGGGACCATGGGCCACCGCCTGGGAGTCCTAGCCACTCCCTCCCTGCTGAGGCCCGTCCTCTGCACCCACCTTCATGGGGGGCCTGCAGCCCTCTTTGCCTCCCTGTAGGGTCACGACCCAGCTGCTCTGGCTAAGGGAGGGGCTGGTATGAAGGCTGTCCCAGCCCAGGCTGCCTGGGGCTCAGCAAGCCACACCTGCCAACCAGGGGGGAGAACAGGCCAGGGGCCAGTCTTCAGCCTCTTCATGCAGTGAGGGTCACCTGGGGTGGTCACTGAGGTCCCCCCTGGCCCTGATGGTCCAGGGAGAGGTGTCGGGGAGCAGCCCTGGGAGGTGGGAAGGCTGCCCGAGGCCCAGGCAGGAAAATGATTAACCACGGGCTGCTCAGGGCAGGAGTTCTGAGATCCACCTTCACCCCCCGCAGACAGGCCCGGCCCAGCCTCGCCCACGACCCAGCCAGCCCAGGGAGGAAGGGACAGGGCTGCTGACCAGGGCACTCAGCCAGCCGGCTCACTACTGCCCAGAGCCAGGCTGCAGCATCTGAGTTTCCCCTCCACACCATGGGGGCTGCACGCTGGCCCCCAGCTCCCAGCCAGGGTCACAGGCTCCTCCTGTCCTCCCAGCCTGATGGTTGACAGTGACTCACAGCCCCTCCCTCCTGCAGCCCCGACTGGTTCACCAGGGAGCCGAGCGGGAGTGGTTCTCTGCCTGGTGCCTCTCGGGCTAACAGCTGGCAGAGTGTGTCTGCCCACAGGAGCTCGGGGAGGCCTAGGGCCCGGCAGGGAGGGCAGAGGGGCTCCTGTCAGCACTGCTTCCGCAGGGCCACCTGGACACCTGGGGCAGCTGGGTCCCCCCGGCCCAACCGGACGGTGTCCCCCTGAGCACTGGACGAGCTCGGACCAGGCTGTGCCCATCTGAAAAGCCACAGTGCCCACCACACACACCCCCAGGCAGGCAGCTCCTGGTGAGCAGTATCCGGTACCTGGGCGGCGTTTTTAACCCAACGCACTGCGGTCCTCAGTCTACGCGGAGACCCCGAGACCCAGACTCAGCAACACTGGAGCCTGCCGCCCACCCACGGATGTCTGCTCACCCCACAGACCACAGACCCGCCTGCTCACACGTGTGAGCACACAGCTGTGGACACAGACATGCCCACCCGGAGCGCAGACACACCCACATCCAGTCCAGGCACACTGACCCACAAGCAGAGTCCAAGGCCGCGGCCGCCAGCCCCACCCGGAGCACATGCCTCCCCGGGGTGTGTCCAACCTCCACACAGCCTGGGTTCCTTCCAGAGCACGGAGCTGCCTCCGTTCTCGGGGCTGAGCTTTCCCCGCGGAAGACCTCACGGTCCCTCCACGTGGGGTACCAGGCAGCTGTGCTGCTGAGCGGAGGGAGGTGGACCCCCAGCCTTGGGAAATGAGTGGCTGAGTCTGAGACCCTGAGGAAGCCCTGCACCCCCACCACCACGGGGAGGGGGAGAGGGAGGGAGAGATCCTAGGACCACCTTAATGAGGGGGGCCTGGGGAGGCAGAGCCTTCAGTACCCCAGTGTGCACCCGGGAGGGGCCAAGAGACCAACGTCCACCTGGCTGGAGCCTGGGGCACAGCAGTGGGGGTCTGGGTCTAAGTTACCGGCCTCAGTACCCTCAGGGGCAGGAGTGTGTGCCGCTGAGCACTGGGGGTAAGGAGGTGAAGGTGCTCATGGGGCACTTCTTAGGGGTAGGGTGCAGGGCGGCCCCAAGGGGGTCCCAGGAGGGGTGCTGCCCCAGGCTTGCCTCCTTCTCTGACTCCGACAAGACCGCCAGGGCAGGACCAGCCACGCAGTCCGCTGACCTCTGAGGCCCTCTCGCAAACGCAGACGGGCACACCGGGGTCAGCATCTGCCTTGAGGTCCCCCAGCCCACACAGCGCGCAGGGTGCCACGCCCAGAGCCTCATCAGCAGAAGGGCTGTGTTCCCCGGCCCGGCTCCTCCTCGCCAGGGCCCAGGCCCCTTCCCCGTCACTGCCCCGATCCCCAGGGAGGGAGCCTGGAAACGAGGCGCGGCCCCTCCTGACCACCGCCCGGACCTCCAGAACTGGGGTGGCGGGGCCGGGGCTCCCCAGGCCAGGGACCGGTCCTCCCGGGCCCCCTGTGTGTGGCCTCGACCCCGAGGGAGGACAGGGAGGCGTGAGAGAGCAGAAGCCACTCTGTCCCCTGGCGAGTCCCCGGTTTGGCCCCAATTCTGTCCCCTGAGGAGCCGCAGGCCCAGTCCGGCCTCAGTGCCGGCTCCCCCGCCAGGACCCCGCAAGGGCGCGGCCGCCCGCTCACCTGGACAGCGCCGACCAGTCCTTCCTGCCGCCGGACATGCTGCCGCCGCCGCAACCACGCGCTCCGCGGGCGCCTCACCTGCGCCCCTCCCCCGCCGCCGGCCCAGGTGAGTGTCGGGCTTATATCCCCCGCCCGCCCGCGCCGCGCGCGGATTGGCCGCCGGGAGCGGCGGGTGTGGGCTCGCGGTCGCCGCCCCCGGCCCCGCCCCGGCCCCGCGCCCGGACAGAGGCCGCTCGGACCGCCGGACGGACGCCCGCGAGGCGCGGAGCTGGTCCGCGGGCGGCCCAGGGCGAGGGCGGCCGGCTTCCTGCTCAGAACCAGTCGGACCAGCTCGGCGCTGGGCGCCTCCTCGCGCAGGTGTCGCGGCTCCGGTGCCGGGCTGGGGGCGGGACCCGCAGATCGGGGTCAGGCTGAGCTCACAGCCTGGAACCTTCTTAGCCCGAGAACCCCGGGGCTGGCACCGTGATCTCGGGGGGGAGAGCGCACTCCTGGCCCTGGGCTGGGGGACCCGGGGCACACGCCCCTGACAGACCCTGAGATGGGCCGGCCCTGCCCCTCCCCAAACCGATTCTTAGACTCGGCCCGGCCCACACGGGCTGCCCGAGAGCAGGACTGAGCGAGGCACTGTCCTCCGTCGCTGGTGCTGGACTTTGGGCTGGAGGGCAGGCGAGTAACAGGCCCGGGAAGGCTCCACCGTCCCCCAGAGGAAGGCGTGGACACAGATAACAGGGACTGGAATTTAGGGCCAACTTGAGGCCACGCAGGCACCACCAGCGCCCACCACCACCACCTGGCCCCCTTTGCCGGCCCACCTGGGCTGCTGGCTGCAGGTTCTTCCTATCCAGAAACCAGCCCCACTTGGGCTGAGCAAGGGGACTGTTAGCTTCCCTGATGGACCCAAGCTGCAAGGTCAGCGCCTCAGCAGCCCCTGGCACCCTGGTGAGGAGACCAGGGACTGTGAGCACCTGCTGCACCCTGCTCCCGGCCTGGCTCCCCTGTGACCCTGACCAGGACGGGTGTGTCACAGTACCCTCCAGCTCCGATCTCCAGTGAAGGGCACCCTCCACCGAGCAAAAGCCTGACACACACACACACACACACACACACACTCAGTGCCAGCCCGTGATGGCATCTCCCTCTCCAAATGCCATCCCCTCCCTCTGCTGTTTACAGGGAAGAAGAGGGGACCGCAACAGGGGTCCGGGGTCCTCGGGCCAGGGCCTGACTCCGGGAGTGTCCATCTCCCTGGGCACCGGCGTGTCAGAGGTGGCACCTCAACTGAGAACCAAAAATGCTCCTGGGTCCTCGAAGCCTGTCCCTTCCGAGGACAGGTCCTGAGGCCAGGGGACCGTCACGTATCTAAAAATCCAAAATGTGCCCTGACGGGGGGCTCAGTTGGTTAGAACACCGTCCCAATGAGCCAAGGTTTCGGGCTTGATCCCTGGTCAGGGTACCTACAAGAATCAGCCAATGAATGCATCAATAAGTGGGGCAACCCATCCATGTTTCTCCCTCTTGCTCTCTCTCTCAAATGAATACATAAAAATTTTAGAATAATAATGGGAGTCCAAAATCTGACATAAAAATCCACATGGACCCCCAGCCCCAGTCGGGGCCATGCCAGAGGCAACCAATCGATGTGCCTCTCTCACATCGATGTTTCTCTCACGCTCCCTCTCCTCTCTGTCTACACAAATCAACGGAAAAATATCTCGAGTGAGGATTGACAACAGCAAAAACCCCACAGACATGGACAGTAGTTTGGGGGAAAGTTATGTCCAGGACATGTTCTGCGCGTTTTCCTAGCAGCTCTGTGCCAGGGGCCATCCGTGCCATCGTTCCCAGGCCTTTGGTGATGAAATGCCACCCCCAAGAGCACCATTTCTAGCAGCGAACACCTGGGAACACCTGTCTGTCTCTCCACAGGTGAGTGGGTGACGACTCGGTGGTGTTTTCACCGTTTCACAGCCGAGACAATGAGCTGCAGGTGGGTCTCTCCACAGGGGTGATTCAGCACCCTCACCTCCGTCAAACGAACAGGACAGAGCAGTGTGTGTCTGTCAGGCTGAAGGAAGATGTGAAGAACCATGAGTCCCTTAGGCACTCGTAAGGGACGTGCGAAGACGTCATACAGACAGGAAGAGGAACGAGACCAGGCTCTCGGAGTGAGTTCTCCTTTGTGGGGTGGGCGGGTCACAAGGAGGGGCCCCTGGGGGCGTCCGAGTACGTGCAGCACCCTGTTCCCCAGAAGTGGGATGTTCACTCTGTAAGTCTTTCGACTGTCCGTACATTAACCACACCAGCTGCTCACTTCCTCCGGGGAGCCCGCGAGGACAGCGTATCGCACGGGAAGTCCCCGGTCACGACCAGGGATTTCCAAGGCTTCCCAGCCAGCAATGGGAAGGGGCCACCTCGCTGCTGCCGGAATGGATGTCAGGCCCTGGAACCCCCCATCCAGCCCCCACCGTCAGGGGGCAGCTTTTTCTTCCCTAAAGAGGACAGAGGGGGGTTCAGGGGAGTCCCTGGCCCCCAACCAGCCGGGTTGGAAGTCACACCAGACAGTCACGAGCCCTTACACACACACACACTCACACACACTCACACTCACACTCCTCCCTGGGTTCCTAGCTCAGAACACCTGCCCTGGCTCCCAGGTGAGGCCACACTTCTCTCGTGAACCCAGAGCACAGGGTCAGGTCCCACAGCCTGTGGGGGGGCCAGGAGTCAGCGGGGCCGGGGGGGCCTCCTGCTCAGATGCCCGGGCCTCCACCTCTGGCTGGAAGACCAGGTCTGCCCACACCCAGGTCCCCGTGGACTGGGAGTTCAGGGTTCTGTGTTTTCATCTCAGTTAAGGCCTGTGACCTTGAGCAAGTCACTGTCCCTCTCTGGGCCTCCCGACCTTGACAGCAACGTGCCGTACGAGGGATGACAGCTCACACCGCTCAGCCCTGGCCTCGGGGGACCCACGACAGCTCAGGAGCGTGTCGTGGGGGCAAGAGCAGGCCCTCGCCCTCTCGTCCAGTGCCGGGCACAGCTGGCCAAGCCATGGGGTTCTCTGAGGCAAGCGTCCTGCTTGGTCAGGACAGGAGGCTGCCGTCCGCGCTGGTCCCAGCAGCCTGTCCTGGGCTTCGGTAACCTGCTCACCCACCTGGAACGAAACGGCCCCCCTGGCTGTCCAGCCCGGAATCTGCGGGGAGTCTGACCCCCTTCGCAGGGGGCCATCAGGGCTAATGTTTAACTGGCTTCCTCCTCATCTGGGCACTGAGCGCTGGGCCCGCTGCGAGGCAGGCTGGAGACAGACGGTGCTCACCACCTGCCCCGGGAGGAAGGACCTCGTCGGGGCTGGGCCACAGCTAGCCTCCCGAGAGCTCGGACAGGCAGGGGTAATGGCAGGTGGCATTCCGCCCTGGCCGTCCCTACTGGGGAGCACCAGGCCCATCTCCGGGCATAGAGAGGGTGCTCACCAGCTGTTGTGTGTGGGTTTGCCACAGATGCCCCCCAAGTACCACCACGCCTCCACCTGGCCCTACTGAGGCCCTACTGTGAGAGGAGACTTGAACACTACCTTTCGGTGGGGTTGTTGGGGCACCCCAGGCACAGGTGCAGGGCCCTGACCGCCAGCCCCGTCCCTAAGGAAGGTGCCTGGTTGGGCTCTGTGGACGCAAGCCTGATCCCAGAAAAGGGCAAAGCCCAAGGCAGCTGACCTAGGCTCCGATTTTGTCTGTGGCCCCCAAACCCTGTCACTGAGGCTGAATTACTTCAATTCCCCGAGCCTGCGTTCCCTCCCGTCAATCCGAGTCAGAGTGTCCAGCGCCGAGGTTTTTGTGAGCACGGAGTGATACAGTTCCGACGGAGCATGCGCCAGCCACGCTCATGGTTGCTGAAACAGTGACTGAGAGCGTGGACGCCCACAGGCTGCGGGGTGAGTCCTGGCCCCTCCGTTTCCTGGCTGAGTGACCGTGGAAAGGCGCTGACCGCTCTGTGCCTTGGTTTTCCCATCTCTGAAACGGGGGCATCCCAGTCCGTTTCTCAGAGGGTGGTTGTGAAGGTGGGGGCCCAGCTCAGCTCTCCTGTGTCCAGGCTGGTCCTCTGGGTCCCCACGCGAGAGGAGACGGGAGCGGAATCCTGCGTTTCCCAACACCGGGCCTCCCCCCAGGCCCACTCCATGGCTGCAGCTGAAGTCCCAGCCGCTCCCCAACTCGCTCTTCACCCAAGAGAGCCCTGTGCCAGAGCCCCCTGCCCTGGTCCCTGGGGGTCTCGCAGGCTCAGCGCTCCTGCCTGTGCCCTGTGCGTGGTCCTCACCGGAGGTGGGTTAGTCCAGCCCTCCCCCAAAGGGCCCTCACCTTGGGTGTGTGCCGCCGGCCCCACCTCCCGCCCACAGGCTCTCTGCACCCAGGTGTTTGTTTTGAGTCAGGCCTGGGGCAGGTCCCCCATCTTGTAGGGCAGGGTGGGGACCCCAATCTGCTGGGGCCCCAGGTCACTGGGTCACTGGCAGAACTGAGGTTTGGCTTTGGATCCTGAGGCCCGGCTCTCCCAAGGGGCGAAGCAAGGAGCCCAGGCCAGCTGGGAGGAGCCCTGGAGGCCGGGAAGGGAGGTTCCTGGGGCTGCCTGGGCACGAAGCTCCACCCCCATCCTCCGTGGCACGGAGCGCCCGTCGGGGGGGTGTGTGGGTGTCACTGGGCGTGCCTAAGGGTTTCTGGGTCTCTTTGCACCCCTGCGCTGCTGGTACCTGGAACCCTGGCACACCCCCGGCTCCCCCACACGGCCCATTACTGGTCCCTCTCTGACAGCAGTGAGTGGCCTTGGGAGCCAGACCCTGCCCCGGCGGGTAGTTGGCACTGCCCTTTGCACTCAGCTTCTGGAATTTATGACAGACAATAGTCTGGGGGCAGAGGGCAGGACAGGAGTGTGCTGGTGGGTGGAAGGGGGCACCTCCTCTCTGGGATCAGAGAGCCCGGGGGCCCAGGTCCGGGACCAGACATTTCCTCTGTAGGCGGAGCTCAGACGTGTCCAGCACAGACACTGAGTGTGGGGGCCAGGAGGCTGCCCCGGTCCCCCCATCCACCGCAGCAGGCTG